TCGGCGCCGGACCAGCTCACGCCGTCTATTTCTCCTTCTACGAGGTATCGAAAAAGTTCCTATCCGCCGGGAATCCCAACAATTCCGCCGCGCATGCCATCTCCGGCGTCTTCGCGACGATATCAAGCGACGCAGTTTTTACTCCAATGGATATGGTGAAGCAGAGGTTGCAGATGGGAGAAGGAACCTACAAAGGCGTCTGGGATTGCGTCAAGAGGGTTATGCGCGAGGAAGGGATCGGCGCGTTCTACGCTTCTTACAGGACGACTGTTCTGATGAACGCGCCTTTTACTGCTGTCCACTTCGCGACGTACGAGGCAGCGAAGAAGGCATTGATGGAGATTTCTCCGGAGAGGGTTAGCGACGAGGAAGGTTGGTTAGTCCATGCCACTGCAGGAGCCGCCGCTGGTGGATTGGCAGCTGCTGTGACGACGCCGCTCGACGTTGTCAAGACGCAGTTGCAATGTCAGGTAGAAATTCAACTGCTCTTTATCTCTTAAGATACACAGTTGTGTACTGGTGTTAGTGGTAAATGATAGATCTTAGGTGTTATGCTTTTAGTCATGAGTCTCAATACTTGTGTTTTGGTAGGTCAAAGGCTTCTAAGATGGACTTGTTTCGATTTCAGTAGTTAGGTGTTGTCTTTACTCTTCTGGGAATAATGATTGTGAAAAAAGAATTATCAGACTACTGGCAGATGGTAACTCCAGCGTAATTTTATTGTTGCGGTTTAAGCTGTTTTAGTTATAACAATCACATAGAACTTAGCGTTGAAAGAATTCAAGATCAGTTCTTTGGTTTCAGTGGCTAGATGTTTCAACCAGTAGGGTTTATGGTTTGTGTATCTAATAATATAAGATAGTGTTTTAGCAAATGACATCTGCTAATTGATCTCTCACTGATTATCTCTTAAAACGGCCGGCCCTGTATTGCTGTAGCATAACGTTTAAGGAATGTAGGAGATATGTTTTCGCTTTGTTTCATTTCGAATGTGATAATATGAGGTTGAAAGATGAAGAAGGATGAAACAATTTCTAAGATCTAGTAGAATTTTAGCATTTGAGTGATGTTACAGCTTTTTAGGTGTATAATATTGTTTTTACTTTGCATACATGTGTATGTTTTTGATGCGTTGTGATTTTTGCATATGAAACAGTAGTGTTGCTTGCTCGAGAATAGATGTCTTTTGCATGCTTTTTATTGACCTAGCATAGAGTTTAAGAAACAGCAATGTCAGGATCAGCTAGGTCCATGATTCTTTGCTCTAAAATGTATGAAATGGCCTCAATTATCTTTGGTGATGTGCAGGGTGTGTGTGGATGCGACCGTTTCACGAGCGGTTCGATCAGTGATGTACTGAGAACGATTGTGAAGAAAGACGGATACAGGGGACTTCTAAGGGGGTGGCTACCGAGAATGCTTTTCCATGCTCCTGCAGCAGCGATCTGTTGGTCCACTTATGAAGGGGTCAAATCTTTCTTTCAGGACTTCAATGGCGATTCAAACACTGCCTGAAAAAAAAAAAAAAAAAAGACAAAGGGTTAGGCGATTCATACTCTTGAGGATCCTGTTTGTTTTTTTGTTTGTAAAATGGGTTTTTTCAGGTTTTATGTCATATTAGATTACATTTTTCTAGGTTTGTGTTGATGATGCTGTCGTCGAGAAATTTTGATAAAAGTTGTATCCAAGCTTCTAGTAATAACTTAACAAAACATTGCACATCTTCTCTCTTTTCTTATCTGTAGTCGACACTAAACTCGATTCAGTCTCATTTCTATTTTTTTTCCTACCATTCATCCGAAGGACAAGCGAAACTCCATAATCAAAACATGTACTTTAAGTCAGGATGTGAGCTTAGTTGAGCACTATAACTTGGTTTCGGAAATCAATCTCGAAAATAGGAATGCGAGAACAGAGGAAGAGAACATCTTCGAGCTGCTTTAAGCTACGATGGATTACCATGAAAGATGAAATCGAAGCAGCTGAGATTGTGTGAGACGGGAGCGATGGACGGAGCTATTTATTTGGTTAAAATAATATATATATATATATATATAAATAAATATAAATGTGAAGAAGTACAACGAGGCACCAGTGGTCTAGTGGTAGAATAGTACCCTGCCACGGTACAGACCCGGGTTCGATTCCCGGCTGGTGCATTCGAGCTGTGAAGAAATTGGCTTTAGCGATGGTTGGGTCCTTCGCACACATCTGATTCCAGATGATATATGCCTCACGTCTGAGCTCAAAATTTTTTTTACACAACTCAGTGCAATACAACTGCATCGGCTTCTCTCTTAATCTCCGACATACTGTAATACGTTTCCCGTCTCCAATTGCAGAAAGAAAAGCAGCTTCAGGTGATCTCACATGGAAGGTTTTTCTCCTCTCTTTCTTCTGTTTAGTTCTTATTAGGATTCAAAAACCAGATTTGGTCTCTCTCTCTCTAGCTCTGGATTTATGGAATTGGGATCTGCTTAACTGGTGGATGAATGATTTGCAGAGAACAACGCCGGGAGCGACTCAGACTCCAATTCCGTAGAAGAGTCGCAGGACTATTACGAGCCGATCTCAGCCGTCGATTTAGACGGTGGAGACGACGACGGAAACGATGAGGAAGACAATAATCGTCCGATCGGTGGAGACGACTTCAGCAACGGACTCTCTAACGGCCATTGTATGATCCTGGAAGCAGAGGACGGAATCTCTTCTTTAAGTATAAACGGACACGCAGAGCATAAGAGTGAGAGCGAAGAAGACACTGAGACGGAGACGCCAGATTCGGAGATCCGTGCAGCATTTGAAGAGGACGAACGGCGTAGAAGATCGCCGTTAGTGGTGGAGAATGCGGCGAGGGTTATGGAGGCAATGCGAGCCATCTCGTTCCCTGGAACGGCCCCTGATTGGGCCTCTGATGTTAATGAAGATCGTTGGATTGATCAGCTTCGGAGATTGAGATCCACTTCTCATAACTAAACACTATTTCTCAAACTTTATTGGTTCAAGTGTTTGATCTCTCTTAAGAATTAAAAATCCAATCTTTCTCAATATCTGTTTAACGTGACATCCAAAATTTCACGATAACACCAATTCCAAGCAGAGATTTTCACTACTCTTAACTTTGCTTTGTGGCTTACTGCTTGTGGAGTTTGTGTCCACCAATATTTCTTCTCAAGAGAAACTGCACTTTCATTAACGTGTTACAATATTTTCCTTTAATATTCATCCAAAAGTAATACTAAGCAGTGTTTTGCTATACAAACCCTGTACTTGATGAATACCGTATGTTTCTGATGATTCACATACATTTATACATGCATACATACATAGAGTTCAAAGTTTGAAGTCACTCATCTGCATCTTTCTCTCCACTGGGTCTTGTCTGAAACTTCTGCTGCTTTTTTCTTTGTTCATGCTAATAAAAATGGTGAAAAGTTTGAATCTTGAACATGACAGTTTGGTTCTTGTATTGAATAGCGTTTTAAATGTAATCTGCAACTTGAAGTTCATGAAGTCTGTCCTGGTTGCTCCTTATAACTCTAGCTTTGTCCCCTCTTATCTCCAGAACCTGAAGAAACAACACCCAGTGTCAGTCATCGTTCTGGGGTGGGGATATATATAACCAAGACATAAAACCAAGATTGTTGAAAAATACCTCTGGTCTAGAGTCAAGAACACCACTGGACATTCCCACATCAACTCTCCATATGCTGCAACCATATTCACTAATAAAATACAAAACCCATATCTCATCATAGAGTTGTATAGATCTTGTGATTAACATCTACTGGGAATGAATTTCGCTAAATGTACCAGTTTACGCCTGATAACTGGGGAGTATGGCCGACCACCATTGCCTTGGCCCCGACAGCTTCAAGAGTGTCCCGGAGAATTTTACTTACCTGATTAGAAAGAAAAAAAAAATCAGGAAAGACATTAAATCCATGTTGATGATGAGGATATAACAGAGGATTTTGGTGACTCAAATTCAACTTGCCTGTTCCATTTGATAGTCATCCAGATCAGAGGTCTCTCTTGAGTAAAGTCGGCTCCAGACCACACTGTCATATCCCCGAGTTGCAATGAATGGCATCTGAGGACTCTCTTCATAGTCGTCAGTATAGCTTCTCATCCAGGTAGCGACTTCTCTGTTTATCCTCTCAACGCCGTATGCAACTGTGGAAAGTACATAGTTAGGAAGAAGGTACATCTCTCAAAGCCGAGAAGAAATGTGGAGATAGACTGATTATCTTTACCATGATGAGGAAGGAGACCACCGTGGCAGAAAACCCAGTCATTAACACGCAAGATAACTCCGTGACGCGCTAATTCACATGCTAATCGACCACCTGGTCTGAAAAGGACCGACCTTGCAATCACTCCCTTTTGCCTCTGTCCTAATAGTTTTCCAACGACTTTTGGTTAACCGAAAAATACAGAAGTTAGAAGCCTCAGAGAGGGCACAGCAGAATGAAGTACCTTTACTACATTCCATTGATCCCAATAGGTTTGAGAACTTCTCCTATCTTCTTTCCATTGTCTTGACTCAAAAATCCAATTTTTAAACGCTTTGTCCCAATCTTGTCCATAATCCTCCAAGTAGTCGAGAAAATCTGTACACTCATCAAATGCTCTCGCATCTACGTATCTGAAATCCCCTTCAACGTTCATTGTCTCATGGTTCCCATTAACCTTAAAATTGAACAATTATTCTCTCTGTGTTAGTTCTATCTTAGTTGTCCTTTCTGTAACATATACTTATCAAATTCAAGTGTGATAGCATTCAGACCTGGAAAACAGCTCCACCGTTAGCTTTCGCCTGTTCATCAAGTAACCTCAGTAACGAGAGTATTGCAATTTCATCATCGCCACGATCCAGTATGTCTCCTACCTGAACTAGTACCTGTATTTTTCATTTATTGATTTCACATAAGTCTGAAGAACTCACAAAGGCTTAAAAGTCAAGAGATACGAAGCTGTATGAGACATCCACTAAGAGATCTTAAACATCAAGACAGCAATTCAGAAACAGATTGATTACAAGAGATTGCTTTCAATACAAGCGTAGTATCATCTATACATATCCCTATCTTGAAGAATAAGAACTCCATTTCCCACTCTGTTTCAACCGTTGAACTATAATAGAAACTGAATTTATGTCAAGTGATGATAAAAGACATACAGTGTCTTTGCCGATCCACTGGTCTCGTCCATCGGAACTCAAGACTCCGGGCCATCTGAAGCGCGTCTCTGGCTTTACTCAGATCGCCGTGAAGGTCTCCAACTATGCATACCATAGAAAACCCAGTAGAGCAAAAACTCAAAAATATATAGTTTTCTCAATTTGTTGTTGTATTAACGAAAAGATTAATTTTTTTTTCAAGATTTGGTGGCGAACCTGCGATGATACGGCGAGAGGAGCAGAGACGGAAGTGGGGTGGATCTCCATTGACGACGATCGCTCAGAGATACTCGTTACAACTGAAGTGCTCACAAAGAGGAGGAAGACGAAGGTTCGAGAAGTTTCTGGGATGAGAAGGAGGAAGCGGAAGTAAGGAATTGAGGTAAAGAGAAGCATTGGTGGTGGTGGAGGAGCAATGATCACCAGAGTTTTGATGAAATGACTTAACATTTGTGTTCGTCTACTCTGAAATTTGTGACTTGTGTTCAAATGCATGCTGAGTAATCCTCTTTTTCTATCTACTGGCTGAGATTTTTCCTCTGAAAGATTGGTATTTAAAAAAAAAAAAAAAAAGATAAAAGAGGAGCCACAAAGGGAAAAAGCAAAAAGGAGGCTCTGTTTCTGTTATTTGTGAGATAAGTCCTCTAGAATATAGTCTTAACCAAAAAAAATGTCTATAAGAAAATTCTCGTTTAGGGTAATTTTGTAAGCCTAATAAGTATTGGAACCCCCAATCTTAATATGTTTTATCATAAAGCAACAAGTATTATTTTCACAATTCACGGTTTGTCAACGAATTTAGAATACAACTGTTTGTATGTTGTAGAAACTGTCTTCTCGGTTTATGGTTATACATGTTTTGGTAAACTAACTTCAAATCTCTGTTAATAATACTTGGCAATTCTTACAACTTTGGTCTATATAAATCAATAAGTTTGTACTTAAGAAAAAGGTCTTTTAATTGTGTTCAAGTGCTCTTTCTTCAAATGTTACTCATATCTTCTGAAGTTTTTGTATATTTAATTCATTTAGATTAATCATCATATGATAATTTCGATAGTACTTTTCTAATTTATTAGGTTTAGTAAAAAGACAAAGAAAGAGAAACTCAAAAGAACAATACAACACAAACAAAAGAGCACTACAAGAGTCATCATTGAATATAAGACTGGCCAGTGATGTCAATGTCTCTATCGCCGGAAGAAGGTGGTTGCTTGTGCTTTGGCTTCATCGTCTTCACCTCGTCTGGTCCATCTGCGCTCTGTGTATCGCTGGCCGGTTGGTTATGCTGCTGAGGCTCGTTCTCTATATTCTTGGCTTCTTTCTTTTTAGTCTTGACATCTACCTCTTTCTCATCGTCTTTACCGTAAAGCCCGCCTCCGTAAGCTTCCTGCATCATCGGCTGCATCTGCGAGACATACGGTGGCTGGTTCTGACGTGACTCGTACATGTTGCTCCCTTCCTTTTTCTTTTGTTGTTCTTCCATAATCAATTCGTCTTTGAAGTGGACGCCGAGTGGTTGATCTATTTTATATGGAAAGTGGTTTTCAGACACGTATACTTTTTCTTCCCTGGTGCCGTCGTCAGAAGCAAACACGTGAATTGAAGTAGGCAAAATATTATGACACATCATCTGTTCATCTTTAAATTTTTTTATTTTTTATGTGTATATTCATTAAAACCTATTTACATAATATATAATCTATATACGTATGTATATTTATTAGAACTCATTTAAGAGTCATTTGTCATACTAAAATACATTTGTCATGCCTAATCTATAAAAAAATAACATGTATATATATATATATTTAAGTTCATTTGTAAAAAGAGAACTGAGAAAGTGAAACAAAGAAAGAAAACGAATGTTAGGTTTAAACATAGCTAATAGATGGCATACAGTTCAATTTATCGTGTTGGTGAACTTAAAAGAAAATATAAGAACAAAATCCTATCAAACGAAAGTTGAATGCTTCAAAAATCATATAAATATCAAATTAATATACTCAACCTATACTAAGAGCAGCCTCAATGGTGATATCCTCTTGGGGTCCATCTGTAATTTTTTATTCATTTAATTTTGAGAAATTAAAAATTTAGAACCCATCAAAATTTTATGTCCAATGGTTCAATGGTGATCCCCAAATTTTTTTCTGTTTACCGCAGAATCCCAAAACACACAGCTTCATTTTTTTCTCTCCGTTAATTAGAAGCTACCAAGTTGCGACGAACCCAGGTTCATCAGCCTCTTAAATAAGAGACTGGATCATCGAATTTATGGGCTTTTACATTTTTTTTGTAGTTTTTACCTATGAGTTTGAGCCATGATATCCTCTTGAACCTCCATTGGAGGTGCTCTAAGTGAAAAAAAGAGTGGGCCTCTCAGCCTATTACCAAACTTGACAGTTCTGTACGATCCAAACTTATCGATCCCAAAATTAAGAGATATGTCTGTTGGTCCAATTCGTAAATGCAAGAAAACAAAATCATCGGCCTATTCAAAAGTGGACCCGACGCCGAAAATTCAACGTGACGAAGTCATTGGCCCATAACCAATTTCCACAATTCAACGATTGTTTCACTATAGAGTTTAGTTTTAGACCGTTTCTTGATTTGGGGAGTATTGAACAAACGCATAACGCTTAACGTGGTTGGTAAAATGCGTTCACGTTATGGAAACATCAAACCAGACAAAACCAAAAGAAATTAATTCGAAGACAAAGTCGTGGTCGTGGCAATATGAAATTACAGATTCCATTAAAATACAAACAGAAACACACAAGTCAGACATGGTTCCCGCGTCTAATCTTATTCTTATGACGAAGACTTTCTCCATATTATAGTCTTCCTCTAATGGTGTTTCGTCATTATTCACCCAATCCACCAAATTCCCCTCAATATTATTGATCCCCATCAAACCATATGGCTGAAGCCGGCGACGAGAATCTTTACGCAGCCGCCAGAGACATCGCTAGAGCCCTTGGCAAGGATCCAAGCGCCGCCGGAGATATCTTACAGATCCTTTCCGGATATAGTGGCTCCGGGAGCCTCGGCGGCGACCCTCGACCCACCGGAGTCCGCGGCGGCGCAAACCTTAACCTTGAACGGTCCCTCAACTCCTTAGAGCGACAGATCTCTGGCTACATCGTGGAGGATCGGCCGATCTGGTCCGATCCCGTTGACTCGCGAACTTTCCTCGACGCCGTTGATGAGCTAATTACGATGGCCGGAGACTTGAGATCCGTGGCCGGAGATAAATCCGCCGCCGTCTGTCTCTCCCGTGCCGATGATCTGATTCAACAGGTGATGTTTAGGCTTCAGGAAGAGTTTGGATATGTAATGGACCGAGCCCCTGAGTCGTTTGACTCCGACGACGACTTCTCCGGGGAAGAAGACAACGGCAGAAGCTACGGGGTCCAACAGGTAATTAATTAATTACAAATTGGTAACATAAATAAATTTAATTTTCATAATTACTAAAAGTCTAAAACTAATCCGCAGTAACTTTTAAGATCTAGAAGTTGACAATCCGGTTTAGATTGATTTTTGGTTTTAGACAAACTAGAACCAAACAAAAGCTATTCTTTTTGTTTTGTAATAAAATCAATGTGGTTGTGAGTTCGGTTTAAATTTTTACAGTTCAATCCCCTATTATGATTTGTGGTTAAATTCGCAAAATTGCTCATCTGAACAGGTAACTGTTGCACCTCCAATCACCGATTACAAAATCGTGATCGAGCCGTTGCCATCAAGCGTTATAGGCGATTTAAACGCGATTGCTGTGCGGATGGTCGCTGGTGGTTTCGGAAAAGAGTGTTCGCGAGTGTACAGTAGTCGACGGAGAGAGTTTCTAGAGGAAAGTTTGTCGAGGTTGCATCTGAGAGGACTAAGTATGGAGCAAGTGCAAGAGACTCCATGGCAAGACCTTGAAGACGAAATCGACCGTTGGATCAAAGCAGTCACCATGGTGTTCCGCGTTTTCTTTCCGAGCGAGCGTCTTCTCTGCGACCGCGTTTTCTCTGATCTCCCTGTTTCCTCTGTAACCGATCTCTCTTTCATGGAAGTTTGTCGTGGAACGACCACACAGATTTTGAATTTCGCAGACGCAATCGCTTTAGGAAGCCGTTTGCCTGAACGCTTGTTTAAGGTTATGGATTTGTACGAAGCGATGCAAGACCTAATTCCCAAAATGGAAACGCTATTCTCCAATAAATACTGCTCGCCGCTAAGGCACGAGGCGGTCGCGATTCATAAACGGTTGGGAGAAGCGATCAGAGGGATATTTATGGAACTCGAGAATCTGATCCGTCGTGATCCTCCCAAAACCGCGTTTCCTGGCGGTGGGATTCACCCAATTACACGGTATGTGATGAATTATCAGCGTGCGGCGTGTAAATCGCGACATTCCTTGGAGCAGATCCTTGATCAGACCGGGAACGAAACCGGATCAGACACAAGACCTTTGTCGGTTCAAATCAGATGGGTTTTGGAGTTGTTGGAAAGTAACTTGGAAGGCAAGAAACGAACTTACCGAGACCCGTCGTTGTGTTTCTTGTTCATGATGAACAATGGGAAGTATATTCTTGATAAGGCCAAGGATAACGAGCTAGGTTCGATCCTAGGAGAAGATTGGATTGTGAAGCAGACAGCTAAACTGAGGCAATACCACTCTAATTACCAAAGGAGCTCGTGGAACCAAGTGGTGGCATTGCTAAGGACCGAGGGTCCGTATCCTAAGCTAATAGAGAACCTTAGATTGTTCAATGTCCGGTTCGATGAAGTGTGTCTGACGCAGTCTCAATGGGTTGTAACTGACGAGCAATTGAGAGAAGAATTAAGAAGCTCCGTCGCCGGAATTGTGGCTCCGGCGTACTTAAATTTCATCGCAAGATTGAAGGCATCGCCTGAGATTAATGGGAGGCGTGGAGAGCCGTTTATTGCGTATACTGTTGAAGATTTGGAGATGCGGATTAAGAGTTTGTTCAAGGAAAGCTCAAGTTGATTAAATTTAATATGAAAAGAAAATGCATTATTAATCGATAAATCTGTAAAATTGTGAATCCTGTTAAATTTTTTTTTTTGTTTTGGGTGAATGTGCAGGATCAATCATTGAAAATGAAAGAGTGACAATATACATCAAAGCTTAGAATCAATTTCATGGACCAGCTGTGATGAACTAAGACTACTAATACATAACCAATATATATGTTAAGAGTTTTAGGCATTAGTCAAGAAGCTTGGATATGGTAGGGTAGGTAGCAGCAAAGAGGTGATTGTAGGTGGCGAAGGAAGGGTGAATAGAGTCAAAGAACATATACTCCGAGCGATTCGAACATAACTTAGAACGTGAATCGCACAAGTCACCCGTCTCAATGTACCCTGTTCCGCAACACCCTTTCTTCGTTTCCTTAAACCCTATACGTGAATAAATGTCCAAGAAGTCAAGACACTATGGAGATGGCTTGAGGAAGAAGCAAAGTAAACATACCGTATTTAGTAGGGTTCTTGATCATGTCCATCGTGGGATCATAGATATTTGAGTATACGATCTTGCTTCCTGGGAGAGACGCTTCAATAGCAGGCAGTAGCTTTTGAAGCTTTTCATTGTACAAGAGTGCGTCTCTGTTCTCTCTTTCTACGCATTTTCTGAATTTTCCACTGCGGAGTTTTGTGGTCATTTGGACCGGCAAGCAACCCACCGGTGACAACCCACCCACCGACATTTTTCTGCACCCTAAATTGTAAATCTCCTACACACACCAAAAAAAATATCAAGTGTACATTTTATATAGTCTCTTCTAATGACGACAACATACAAGACATACTAGGCCGCTATATTATTGGAGGTACAAATAATTTTCATTCTTGATCAGAACTACTCTGTAGATGTCACCATCTAAATCTATTGAGAAAGAACAATTTTATTAGGAAAAACAAGCTTAGAGAAGTAAACGGTTACCTTGACGAAGTTCTCTAATCTCTTGAGAAGGAAATTCTGGTAATCAGAGATCTTAGGATAGTCGAGACGCCTTGTGGGAAGATCATAATAGTTCAAGGTGAAATCGTTAGTACCTGCACTAACGATCACGATCGCACCATTTATGATCTCCATCGCTTTCTTCTCTCCCACGATACCTTTGAGACGAGAAATGTAATTCTTGAACATGGTAGGTTGGTATGAGACCGGGATGGCCTTTGTGGTGAGCATAGTTCGGTCGTCATAGCCTGAACCAGCGGATGCAAAGCTAACCCCGGTGACGATTTCTGCGTCAGAGAGGTTTGGTTGGAGAAAAGGAGGAACTAACTCTTTGATGTGAAGCCTGGAGGCGATAATTTCGCAGTAGAGCTTTCCATTTGAGAATCTCCCACTCGCTGCTTTCCCTTGGAGATCGACTCCGTAAGGGATACGATTTGCCTTGAAGTTGGCATTTGGGTGGTAATTATTGTTTCCCGTGTCCGCGGTTGAGTCTCCGAAGATTAGGATCGCCGGTGCTAGCGGTTGCGATTTGGCGGTATCGGCCGCGTTGCAAGACGCAACTAGAGTTATTATGAATAGAACGACCGCTCTGGTTTTGGAGGTAGTCATTGTTAATAGTTGAAAGTTTGTAGTTGAATTGCAACTTTTTGGATTTTGGTCAAGTTTCTGATGTAATTGTTACTGCTTTATCAACTCTGTTTTTTAAAGGGTTGGATTTTATATGTGTTTGAAAGTTATTTACTATTGGATTAAATTGCTCTTTGTACCGACTTTCTTAGTTATGAGTTCGTTTATTACTTGAAAGTTGGGAAACAAAAAACAAAAGGGACAAAATAAAGGTTTTTATCTGACAAAAATAGACGTTTTAGATACTGAAATCTAATTAAGGAGATTTATTGAACAAAAAAAAATTTATAAGAGATTCAAAGCTTGACCAAAACTGAAGAGATAACCCAAAGAAAAAAGAAACAAAACCGATAAGATATTTATACTAAGAAAAAATTTGTAGTTTGAGTAATTTGTTCTAACAATTTTTTTTAAAAAATAGTAAATTACTTGAATTCACATATACGTAGTCATCCACCCAAGTAGTCCTCGACTAAGCAGACACAATACCTAAAATGTATGAGACTGTAAAAGAGTAATAATTACAACTTACTCTACTCCTAAAACATATAACTCACGATCGCATATTACCAGGTTTGAAAGAAGTCTATAACACTGCATATCAAGATAACAATTTCTTCAATTTTAACAGACAGAGCACCACTCCCAAGCATTTTGCTATAGAGTTTAAAGTAATAGTAGATAGCTTAAGCAAAAGCGATATAGATTAACCTCCTGAATACATATTACATTAAAAGGAAAAATAAAAATCAATGGAGTACGTGGATGATTTGATCAACAAGACTGAGACTGACGACGAGGTAAGCAAGTTGGGTAGGATGAATGTCGTCCCAGAAAAGGAAGTGGTTAGGGTCGGGACAAGTCGGAGTTAAAGGATTGCACAAGTACGATAGTTCCATTTCTCCTGTTCCGCAGCATCCCCTCGTCGTCTCCTTTATTCCTGTCCCCTTCAAATAAATTAATTCAGTACTTAACTTGTGAGGAGAACATGAAATTCGCATGGTATATTCATTCATTCTGAATTTTCTTTGGTTACAATTGTACTCATAACCTGTAAAGCGAGCACACTACATCTATAAATTTACATTAAAATGAAAAATAATAATTCTAGTGTTTAATTCTATGATATAACATCAACATAAAATTGAATGCAACTACAAAAGCATGCATGTAGCATATTGATCACTTGTTGTTATCATCCTTGCGATAATGTTCAAACCAACAAAAATGCATATATTGTTGACTAAAGGAAAAAAAAACAACAATATAATGCTGATTTTTTGGTGTGGATAACCAACAATTATAAATTAACAAGCAAACGACTTCATGGTCTTCCAACCAAGCCAGCTAGACCGGCTTAAGTAGCTGATATGTAATGTTATCAATATAGGTGTATTAGGGAACCAAAACCTTAATTTGTTTTTTTGTTTTTTTGTAACTTTTGTTACCGAATTGTCTAAGACTCTAAATATATATGTCTTAAACTTACATTGTTTCCGTGGCCGATCATAATATATCAATTATATTTCAATGAACTTGATTTGGAAAAAGTTGCAATTGTATTAACAAAAAAAAATTAAGGATGCAATAGATCAAAACGCAAGGAGAACTTGATTTATTGCGAAACGTAATGTGCATGGGATAAATGAAAACGTTACGTTACCGTATCTTTGGGGATTAGTAGCCATGTCCAATATTGCTCCGTAGATATCGGCGTAGAAGATGACACTACCAGAGAGATTGGATTGAATAACCGTCAGGGACTTCTTTAGCTTCTTGTTATACCTTTTTGAATCTGAGTTTTGTTTGTCGATGCATCTTCTCTCGCTCTGCTTTTGCCTATCCATCGTCATCTGAATCGGTAAACATCCGATCGGCGGTAGTCCCAATACCATTATTTTCCGGCAACCAATGTCATATAGTTCCTATATATACCACATAACACATCTAATATTGTATAAACAAAACAACAACAAAAAATAAAACCTTTAATAATTAACAATGTGTATGATGAGAATTGTTGTTTACTTGAACGAAGTTTTTTACACCCGAGAGAATGAAATTTTGATAGCCATTGACGCCGAGCTTGACACGAGGAGAAGGAGTATCGTAAAGATTTATATCGAAGTCGTTAGTTCCCGAGCTTACAATCACAAGAGCCTCGCTGAGTATCGTGGCCGCTTTCTCTTCTCCGGCGATTCGGTTCAGCCTCGCCAAGTAACTTCGGAGCATATCTGCCTGTTTGGCGACGGATAGACTTAAAGTAGCTAGATCAGTGTAGTTGTCGTAACCTGAACCGGCTGAGGCAAAGCAAACTCCGGTGAGAATGTCGGAATCCGACAAATGTGGGTCGAGGAAAGGAGGAACGGTGTCTTTGATTCCCATAAGAGAAGCAATGAAGTCCGGTATGAGTTTACCGTTGGAGAATCTTCCGGTGGCGTTTCGGCCGGGGAAATTGCAGCCGTAAGGAGGGAAGTTAGCACGAATGATGGTGTTGATGTAGTTGTTGTTTCCGGTGTCGATCGTGGAGTCTCCGAACACGAGAATCGCCGGGAACATTGATGCGTTGTTGATTGTCTCGTTGGTGCTATTTGCATGGCTTGTTCTCAATCTTAGTATAGTTGTTATGATCATGAATATTATTTCATGGATCAACATTATCTCTTTCCTTCTCTCTTTCTTTTTTTCTCTTTTGTGATTTTTTTTGTTTCTTTATAGGACGAGTCGGCTGATTATTGGAGAGTCTACTGGCTATCTATATGTATTCGTAATTCGTGCGTACGTGTCATATGCCGTCGAATTGTTGACTTTTTTGTTTGACCTTTACGTGGGCCAAGGAAATTAAAATGGGCCTCATTGAAAGCTCATACTAAACTCCAGCACTCAACGTTAGCGCTCCGGTGACTGTTCCCGTCAAGTCATGGTTTCCTCATTCCATCAAAATGTTTTTATTTTTTCAAATCAATCCAAATTGCTGGCTCTGACTTTTTTTTTTCTTCCTAGCACCTTTTTAAACTTGATGGAGCGTCAAATGAAATGATCTAAGTTTGGTCCAAAAGATAAACCACGACTGATTCTGAGATAATTGACTGATCATACAAATGAAAAAAAAACGAGGTGCTATTTTTCATAATTGTACAATATTCATAATTTTGTTTTATAAGCCACAAACAAATCCTTATTCCTTAGGGTATTCAATTCTTTTAAAATAAAATGGGGCGTATAAGTGTTTCATCGTTCTGTCCTCATGGCTGATCCAAAGATAAGTGAGGATATTTGTGAATAAGTTTGTCTATATCATAGATTAGAAAAATAAGGTTAAACTTAATTTCCTTGGGTAAAATAAGGGTAAACTTGTATAGTATTCTCCACACTATATAAATGTATGTTGTGAGCTATATATTATGATAGTAAATGATAAATCTTCACAACTTAAACTCTCATGCATGATCAGTCCATAATATTTTTGCCCAACCTCACCTATAAAATTAAACGCATCGATATTCAATCAACTACACAAACCTTAAAAATTGGAGCGTCTTGGTCACTACAAAAAAAAATTATGTGGTAGATAAGAATGGATATATATATATATGTATATATGAATGTATGGTCAGTAATAGGCCTTACAACCAAAAGGATGCACGCACATATCCTCAGAAACGTTAAAATATACGTAAATGGAAACCGACGAGATCATGCAAAAAATTTATATACCGATATGGCGATACTGTATATGTATATATATATATGTGGTTGTTAATGTTGATATCTTGGTATAATCTCTTAGAAAAATGGATTCTCTTAAGACCAAACACGAAAACGAGTTTGGAAATAGAAGTACGTGCAGCGGGATATCAGTTAAGATTTCAGAAATCATTTACGGTCCAAAGGAGAAAACAAAAGGATATTGCACACGAGAGTAAATCTAACCAAACGTGTGTTATAGGCTGGAGATATCTCCAATATCTATGCTAAACCTTTAAATTATTCCTTTCGTTTGTCTTTATTCGATCAGGTTCGTCCCCCCTAAAACACCACTTCGTCCCATAATATATACTTTCCGTTGGTTAAAACAAAATAAAAGAGTGGCTAAAATCAAATCTTCCTCGGGTTTAGGGGAATTAGTCTTTGATATTTTCATTAGAATTTTCCGTCTCTTACTAAAAATTCGAAAATATGTAACCCATATACCAACTCCCGTCATATATATTCATATAGTGTTTTCTATTTTCCAACCTAATTATGGTGTTCTAGTGGTTGAGAAATATTCACCTTGAAAATGTAAAAACAAGATCTGGATTTTCTTACCGAAATTTCAATCATGGTTAATTATTATAGATGCATTTGATAAGAGAATCCTAAAACTAGTTTGAATTTTGGTTTGACATTATGATTGAAAAAAATGTAGAATTCTAAGTTGATGATTGGGGATAGAAAGTAGACTTTGATTGATTTGGTCATTTTGACCCAAAAAAACGCCAGCTATACTTCTTATAATATCATTGCATTCTATATGATTACATTTGCATATCTTTCGATTCTTTTCCATTTTTTATTGGCCTCGTTAAATAATACAGCCGCGCCTAGAGGTATGCAACTAAAGAAAAATTAATCTTGTTTGTTCACTAGTATCCAATATGCTTAAAAATTGTACGGCGAAGTTACCCTCCAAAGCTTTCTACGTTTCTAGTTCATTTATAATTTTAAAGTATCTTATACCATTCGGTTCGGTTTTTCTAATTATGATTTTTTTTTGTCTATTTCTACATATGCGTAAAAATATTAGTAAGATAATTGACAATAGAGGACAAAATTTGACAAATTCAAAGTTGATTAAAGTGGTTAATGATCCACCGTGGAAGTTGTGAAATTGTGGAACAAGACAGGTTTGGCTCACGTTCTTAAACTATGGTCCCTTTTTAAAGATTCATAAGAAAGACTCATTTCAACAATTTGTGCATGGTGCACACTCACCCGAAATCTCATCCGCGTTCTAATAAAAGTTCGCCACTCTCTGATAGCCAAATTAATTAAGGTATTATTAGTACTCTCGAATTAATTATATTTTCGGCGCTAATCGTACGTAGTCGGTGCCCCAAACGTCCGTACGACGAAGCTTCCTCGTTCATGTCGTAAATTCTTTACCAAGATTTGTTTTGCCCCCGGTTATTTTTTGTTTTTTTTTTTTTTTTAATTTCATACATTCTCTTGCTCTTACTTTAGTTCATCCTTAATAAAGCATTGGTTCTCAACCTTACCTCTTATTACAGTATATATGTTTTTAGAAATTTTTTTTTTCTGCTTTGCTTTATAATGAGTATTAGAGTTATCTTAGTATGTTTTAGAAACGCTCAATAATTTTATAACATAGGTAAGTACAATCCACATGAACTTACAACAACAATAGTACTTAACTTTTAGGCATGTGAATTCACTGTGAGAACCTAATGATTTCACATATATAAAGTTCCTTAGTAGAATTTAAAGACTCAGCTCCTCTTTGTCTAAACCAGTAATAATAGTTTAATTTGGTGTACGGACTCTTATGTACTTTTCAATTGATTGAGTAATTCAAATTTAAAGTATTTAACTATATATTGATGTGGTCCTGCGGATTACTTATCCCCTCTCTTGCTTAATCAAGTAAACTTAATAACTCATCCAAACCCGAGAGCAACGGATCTTCAACTGTAATATATAGAGTACTTAATCCCCGCAAGTTGCAGATATCGTAGTTAAGTACGTACTAACGTACGTACGGTTTTGACTATAATTAGTGTGAGAATAGTCATTAACAGACAGTCTTAAAAGCAACAGAATAGTTTAAGTAACTCAAATATTATTCTACTATGAAGAAACATATACATATATACATAAATGGTTCCTACATTTGACAGTGCTATTATGGTCTAAATCATTTGAATAATAACGTAAACGAATATCTCTATATATAACCGCAAGCGCTTAATGTATATATTTTCTAAAAAATTCATCATAATGTCTGCATAATATTTTGTCCATCAAGACAGCTGTTTTCCCAAATGAAAAAAAAAACAAAAAAAAACAAAAAATCGTTCAACCGATGCTTGCATTTTAAATTAATAAAGTACACATATTTTAAACAAAAGAAGAAAGTACAGATATACGACTTTGCATTTAACGATGATGGAAATATTTATATTGACGGTAGGAAATATGAAAGTTGTGGCCATAGAAAACTGATGTCATTAGTGAATGTGGAGTGTCCGTAACCATACTAAGTACTAAGATGTGTTGATCCGTACCATCTGCAGTTATAAAAATGACGACCAACTAGCATCTTATTTTCTTTAAATTGATGGGTAACTTATTTGTCTGTATCAGAGGGGCCATTAGACCCAAAATTTGGTGTTTAACTTAATTAACCCAAAATAGAAGTGCGGAAGCTCTAGTAAATTAAGTCAATCAAAATGTGCCACGATATGAGGCCATAAAACCATTAAACAATACAACATCAATTAATGAATTCTTATTCTCTGTATTCCGTACTTCTCTATTTTTTTTTTTCGATTCTGTATTTGCAAAAGTGAAGTAGCTTGAGCACAGACAACGAGAATGTGTAGTTCTCTTCTCAATAGTAACGACTTAAAAAAGTTCACTGACTAAATTTAATGGATCGTTACTTCCAACATTGATATCAAATCCTACTTAAGTATCCGTAGTGTACAAGACGCTTTTGATTTAAATAGATAATCCTTTTTAGGTTTCCAAGTCTTTGGCCATCGTTTCACATTATTTTTTTCGAGTAATCTATCTAATCCCAACACGCTCCTAGTTTCAAGATTTGGAATTATTCGAGAAAGAATACAAGAAACTGTTTTTTCTTTTCCTCCTTCAAAATTTGTCACATAGCGTCAGAATATAATTACTCGATCATTTCGACATCTTTAATAACCGTTGATTAATTATTTAGATTACTATATGAATCTCTACCAGAGATTCAGCTCAGAGATCTAAGCCTACTGCTCTGCAGAGACCACAGAGTAAACAAATATCACATGTATATAATAGTAAAATTATAGAATAAAGTTTCATTAGTGCTTATAGCCTTATTATACGATAGATGTGCGTACACAATCTATACAATAATGATTTTTCTATGTATATCGAGTGATTGTTATTAAGCTCAATATCAATTATAAGGATGGACGAAGAGTGGACATTATTGTTTTTGTGATATTTCGTTTTTTTTAGCTATGTCAGTACTTATATTTTGCTGTAGAGGTACTATCCGTAAAAATTCGGATATTTGATCATATGTCTGACTCGCTGCGTTATAACAAAAAACATAACGCAGTAATGACATTAGTATTTAGTACCAACCATTAGGCTATATACTCCTACCCAGATATTTATCTTATACTTTTGTGTTAACATAGGAATGATTCGGAATAAATTCAAATAATAGAAATGGCAAAAGGGCATTTCAGTCAATTTTCTGATCGGTATACGTATGGTCAAGCCCGCTTTGTTGTTACGTGAAGTGTTGGCTCCTATATAACCTCGTCTTCTCCAACTTGTTCTTCCCCATAAATCTGATTATCAATATAAAAAAAAAAAAACCTAAAGTAAAGAGAAAGAAGAGAGAGAGATGGGAAACAGCTTAAGGTGTTGTATTGCTTGTGTTCTTCCATGTGGAGCACTAGATTTAATCAGGATCGTTCATCTAAACGGCTACGTTGAGGAGATCACACGGTCAATAACCGCAGGAGAGATCCTACAAGCAAACCCAAACCATGTCCTAAGCAAACCATGTTCTCAAGGTGTTGTCCGTAAAATCTTGATCTTGTCCCCTGAATCTGAGCTCAAGCGAGGAAGCATCTATTTTCTCATCCCTGATTCTTCCTTGCCGGAGAAGAAAAGGAGAAGAAAAGACGGTTATCGCCGGAAAAATACTCTCAACAACAACCCTAGCGCCAACGTCGGAGTGGTTAAAGGTGATGATCAAAGTGTGAAGTTGTGTGAGAAGTACTTAGAAGAAGTTGTGTCGTCGACGTCGACTGGTAAAGAACACCGTCATCGCCGGCGACACAGCAGATCGGCGTCAGTATCCACGTGGCGGCCTCACCTTGACAGTATCTATGAGGATCTTAATTAATTCTTCTTCTCTTTGCCTCTTTTTGTTTCTTCTAGCTAATGGTATTTTTTTGTCCGGAAGCCGGATTTCTATTTCCCAGATATATCATTTCCTTTTTTTCTCTCTTTTTTTTTTGGGAAAAATTCACGAAAAGAATATAAAATGTGGATAAGTTTTGTGTTAAAATGCTGTTGTAATTTCCAGTCACTGAGAATGATAACATTTCAACCATAATCATTGATCAAAAACGAAACATATATGGCCAAAAAATTATGATAGATTTCTAGTAGAAATTATTGACGTGTAAGGGTAAAGAAGACGACAATTTAATGGAAATAAAATGGAACTGAATCAAAGAACCAGCCTTGTCGCAGTTAAGATTTAATGATTTCTTCTTTATATCAATGAAAAGATTGATGAGTTTTGTAGTTTATTGGTTTATTATTGTATTACTTATAATATCTTTCACTATTTAGACATAAACTTGGTAGTGTAATCGCCTAATCGAATTGTAGATGGGAAAAAGCATCAATGAAATGATTAATGATTATGATCATAAAATGTGTGTTTAACGGAAATGTCACTTTGAATGATTAGACTTAATATTATAAGTTCGGTAGTTATAAAATACTAATTAATAATAATAGTTAGTGCGCAGGTTTTCACATGCAGGTGGACCAATCGAAAAGTCATTGAAACTGAAATAATACCATCAGTTCCAAATAATATAAACATTCAGACATATAAAATTATTTGTAATGTAAACCATACGGTCCATCCGTCCATACATCGAAAAGAAAGCGTGGCAATGATTATACATTAGAAAAAAAAAAGAGAGCAAATGAACAAATTTATCTTCTCATGTACCATGAATTCTATCATGTATTGAATAAAATGAAGCTGATCAAAATTTTGAGTGGTTCGACGATTGAAAGGCACTGTTGAAAAGTAATATGGGTTGATATATATATATATATATATATATGTTTGGAATGACTCGTTTACAGTAGCCAGATACAACAGGGCACAGGCTTTATACATAAAATTGCAACAAAAAATTCATACAAAATATGTATATTAATAATTTGAATATAATGAAGTTTAAAATATGGTTATTGGAACAAAAAAGTTGGAGTTGGCTACAACTACAAGTTAAGATATCTATTGAAAAATTACAACAAAACATCAGACTAAAAAGACGAAATTATTCTTCTTCTTATTAATTAAAACATTTAAAGAGAAACGACCAGAAAAAAAAAAGAGAAATGAAAGCTGGCAAGCCCATCTGAATCAGCTGCATTCACATGGCTTCCCTCTTCTATGCCCCATCTCTATTAGACTTTCATATTTTTCTCTTTCTTATTCTTCTATTTTACTACTATCTATGGTCTACGATTTACTATTAATGTATAATGTGCAGCAACTATGTACATATACATTACTACGCTTGGTCCAAACAGCCCATCTTCTCCATACGCTTCAGCCATTAATGCTTCCAATTTTACGTACACAAATTTTTATATTCAGATTTTTGTACTGATTTCGATACGGTTAACTAATGTGAATAAATTTTTTTCCCATTTCCAAAATAAACACCATTGTAAATTTGTAAACATAATATACATGACAAGTAGGAGTCATGAGGAAACGTAAACATAATATTTCCCATTTCCAAAAATATTTCCCATCTGTAAATACAAAGACAAAGAGTAGGAGTCATGAGGAAACGTAATATACATGACACGTCCGTCTGTTTATGTCCACATACCAACTCTGAGAACCCCATCTGCGAATAAAACGATCCGATCCCACTTTCATTATCTCCAAATAGTATGAATTGTAGAAATATCTTCGTCTAACAATTCCAAATGAAAGAAATTAACTGATCGTATTCATAAAAAACTGAGTTCTACTACATCGAGTTGCTTTACTTAACAGCCTGTAGTTTATAATAACAAACACTAAAAACTACACCTTTTATTTAACTTTTTAAAACAAATGAAAAAAATAGTAGTAAAAAAAAAAAAAGACTAATTAATCAACGGGTGTTATGAAGATCAACAGAGGTAAACCCTTCTTCAACAGAGAAACGTGGGTGTACTCTGGTATCCCCAGTCCTAGGAGGAGGCGAAACTGGCAATTTATAGCTATTGTCCATCGCAAGAGACTCTCCTTCTTGCTGGTGAACCACAAGCACCGAGAAATGAAAATCCGTCGACGCAAACATGTCTCCGACCACACCTAGCTCAGGACACTCGCTCCAGTCCGTCAGTCCGTACAGCACGGAAGACTCAAGGTCATGGTCACGACCCACAACCACCATATCGTACGAATCCCCAAGTGCACTAATCACTTGCGTGGTCTCCACGCCATCTCTCACGATCTCTTCTCTGTAATTCACTTTAGGCTTGTTCAGCGAGAAGCTCTTGAAATCGTTTATAAGGTGAGACTCAGAGAATTCGTTTTCTTCTTCTACTACGCTGTGTATGGAGCTCTTGTGCCGGAAATGGATCATTGTTACGTTCACTTCCGGGTGCTCGGCGATTCTCATACAGAACGCGAGCGCTTCCGCGTCATCTCGGCCTCCGATGAAGATCACGGCGATGTTCCTCCACGTGTGGCTCATGAGCACCGAGCGTCGGCCTTCTGTTTCTCCACGGTCGATGAATATCCCAACCGAGCAAGGTGCCTTGTCAAGCACGTTTAGGTTTATGCTACGGATCGCAGAGTTCACGCGGTCGACGTTTCCGTCTATGGCGTACTGTTTGTGGAACGGGATGACGATGAGCGTCGCTTTCTTGTCGAGGGCGAGAGTGCAAATGTCGTCGTTGATGCTGGAGAATGGAGCTGCAGCTGTGAAATGCTGAGCCATTAGGGTTCCTTGGTGCTGTTGCTCGAAGCGTTGGAAACCGTTGACGATGTGCGTGGATTGTGTCGTGTTGGGATCGAGTTTGTTCATCTGGTGATGCGGCATGAGCACCGCGTGCGCTCGGCCTTTGAGCTCGACGAGGTGCAGCGTGAAGACTGAGATCGGGCTGAACCTACTTGGGTAAGAAGCTTCTAGGAGGTTAACCATGGAAGGTACGTTTTCGACGTTGTAAACACAGAGGAGGAGGCGGAACTGAAGGTTTCGCTGTCTCGTGTTGAGTATCGTTCTCTTGCTCTTGCTTCTGTAGCGTTTCGACGGGTCGTAGAGGCACACGACGAGGAATCTCGAAATCCCCGTCACGAGCAAGAGCGTGATGATAACAAGATTGAAGCACTCTGTGTTTAGAACCTGCAAACAATAAAATCTGATGAAAATTTTTGGAGAAAAAATGTGGATTATAATAGATTACGTACGAACCAAGCAAACACTATTAAATACCTTCTCGTCTTTCCACATGACGGAGGTGTAGATCTCGATGATGCCTTGGCAACACATCAAGAAGGCCAAAGAAAGAGCGTCTCCGATCTGTATGTTGCAATACGCGGAAGCGGCTGCAGTTCCGAGGAACTTGCAGGTATAGGTGATGAGGATCACGGCCTCAATGATCTTCACGTGGCTCTCTCCAATCACGAAGAAATTGGTCTGCAACCCACTAATGGCGATGAAACAAGGAAGCATAAGGCTCGACGCAAACATCTCGAGCTTGGTCGTGAGCCCTGTCCCAAGCGGAGGTCCGTCAGGGAGCGATACTCCGAGCCAGAACGCTCCGAAAGCCGCGTGGACGCCAAGCACTTCGGACATCAAGCTTACACTCAACAAGATCATTACGATCGGGAAGAATGGGATCTCGCCTGCTTTATCGATCGAAACACTTCTTCTTTCAGTCAACCAGATGATCATCGGTCTGCAGATGAAAACAATCATGACGAGAAGACCCGTGACCCAACCAAAAGACCACATGCTAGAGAGTGTCCCGTCTCGCAAGAACATTCTGAAAACGAGGGCCACCACCCAGCTAAAGGCCTCGCAGACTATGGAGCAGTTTGTGGCTAACCGTCCGAGATCAGAGTTAAGGATGTTGAGCTCGGCTAAAACGGTCGTGGTGACCGGGAAAGAAGTCATTGCGCTGAGGGAGATCACTGTGCTGATGCAGTGGACAACCTCCGGTGGGAGCTTGTAAGTGTTTTTCAAGAAGAGGACGGTGAGGTTACCGAGGGCGAATGGGACGGCGTAGGAGGCTGTACCGATGACTATGGCTTTGGAACCGGCTTTACGGAGAATGCTAGCGTCGATTCTTAGCCCGAGTAAGAAGAGATGGATGAAGAAACCCACGTTTGACACCGTTTGTAAAGTGATTTTTCCGCTCAAGGGCATGAACATATCCATGTATCCGCTGCTTTGGCCAAAGAGAGAAGGTCCTAGGATTATACCAGCCTGCGTATAAACATTTTGCAGAATTCATTAAAAAAGAGAGAAAATGTACATAACTCCACAGGTTGTAGATATATATAATGTGAGTTATTACCAAGACTTGGGCAGAGATCATGCCTTGCTTCAAGGGCTTGAGGAGGTAGAAGAGAAGCCTTGAGGTGATGATGATGGCGGACATTTGCAGCAATAGAAGTGGCATAGCATATTTGAAAGGGTCACTGCCCAAGAAAACACCCTTCGAGGTTAGCATGTGGTTGGTCTGGCACACGATGCTTTCCAGGAAAAACGGTCCATGAACTTTTCCCATCTGCATCGAGTTCGCTTCGTCCAGGTTTAGCTTTGACATCGCTATGATCCTTCGTGCGAGCCAAAGATGAGTGTGAAGAACGTGGAGGAAGGAGATTGCAGAAACTACTGTATGTGGGCAGAAGAAGCTAAGAATCTCTTAGTGAGATGGATAACAAAACAGAGAAACTCTGTTTTATTGTAAGAGAAATGTTGATTATCTTGCTATAATCAATCCAATGTAGATTGCTTTCTAGGTTATGTCAATAGATCAAAGACAAAAGGAAAGTGTCAGAGAGAGATAGAGAGAGAGAGAGAGAGAGATGAAGCCAAGCCATAATTGTTGCCTCTATTTATTGATTCCGACTATTTTTAGGTTGGTTGATGTTCATAACCAGTAATGTCTCCATTCTAAACTCGTGGTTTTAAATTATCGTGAAGTCCTAATAATAAAAAACCTTTTCAAAATGTGATTTTCGCAATTAGTCCGCATAGCCACTGTTCTCAAAGAAGAGACAAAAATCTGGTTTTCACTTCTTGGCGAAAGAGACTACCATTGGATTCTGTGGAGTGATTTTCAAACCTTGAAGAGCCTGAATGGCCATAGAAGATTGAACATCGTTTTCGTGCTCCACAAACGCAATTCCTGGTTTTGCTTGTATCATTCTTATCTCCTTGAATCCTGGGCATTGTTCAAAGATCAGCTGAAGCATCATGCTAGTCATCTCAACGGGAAGATTATGAATGAAGAGTATGTTGTTTGATGGCATCGTGTCTTGCCCGCTCGGCTGGAAAGAAGGCTGCAAATTTGCAGAGAGGTTATGCAGTTCTGTTAACATCAGATGAAAATTAAAAAAGACAGACGAAAACGAGCTGACAAGTTCTGAATTTGTGATAGAAACGAAAGTTCAAACCTTTCTCTTCTTGCTTCATCTTCTCTCTTTAGGAACAAAAGTCTCCTCGGCTTTAGAGACACAATCTGACTTTGATTTCGCATATTGTATTAGCTGTGCCCAAAACAACACCCTTTACTCTTAGACACACAATAGCAGCCAAATAGCTTAAGGTCTTGAACTGAATTGAATTCAATATTCTACATATGCCATGAGCCAAGAATAATTTTCTCCTGAACAATGAATTAGGAAACTTGGCCTTCGTGGCAATAGCAGTCGCTGTTTTCTACTTAACTACTTAAACAAAGCACAAAAAGTTCCGGTCTTTTAAAAATTCAATAGAAAACTTATAATCCCTAACTAGTGAGAAAGAATACTCCAATGCAAAATCACCGACGCAAGTATATACATGTTACAATATATTGGGAGTTTCGTGGTTTCTGGAGGAATCAGAGAGATGGAAACAGAAGACTGAAAAACATTACCTTCTTTCTTAATCTTCTCATTGATATTTTTAATATAGATTGACTGATTCGGCGGTATATTGAGCCAAAAAGACACAGCGGAGGAGAACCGTCGCGTTACACGCCGTCTAATTTTGTTTTATTTATTTTAACTTCTTACCGTTTAGCGTAGAGTAAAACAGCACGAAGTCTTTCGATACATTATTAAAAACGTTACGACGTTCGAAGAGGCATTGAAGATATATCCCTTTCCCCATTTTTCCACCGTGTTTCTATCCTCTTTCCTTCCTTCTTCTGTTCCGTTAAACCCTACGCTACGAGCTTCTCTCTTCCACTGCTCAGGATCTTTCACAGTAGAGGGAGCCATGAATCCCTCGCTTATCACCTCCATTAACGCTCCAATCTCACCTTCCACTCGGTCTCCTTTACTCTGTCACTTCCTGACTCCGTTGCCTCTCCGTTTCTCGAAGAATCGTCGTTATCGAGTTTCATTCCCTCGTTGCGCAGCTACTTCCTCCGACCTACCGTTGGTGTCTGAGCAGGCGAAGAAACCCGATGTTTACGGGAATAAGAAGGAGCTCACCGGATTGCAATCGATTGTTGAGAAGATGACACCGCCGGTGAGGCTAGCGACTTCTGCTGTTGTTCTAGCGGCTTCGCTAGCTGCTGGTTACGGACTAGGGCTCCGGTTTTCCGGCTCCAGGAATATTGCTCTGGGTGGGGCTGCTGTTGCTGGAGCCGCCGGTGGAGGTCTTGTCTATGCGCTGAACTCTGCCGTACCGGAGGTGGCTGCCACCAGTTTGCACAATTTTGTTGCTGAATTTGAAGATCCTGCCTCTGTGACGAAAGAGGACATCGAAAGGATCGCTGATAGGTTAGTGGTTGCTTGAATTTGGAGCTCCTGCCTCTCTGACGAAAGAATATACAGAAAGGACCCAAGTTGCTGGGATTTACACATAAATTTTACTAAATGATCCTTTTATATGTTTCAGGTATGGTGTCAACAAAGGAGACGAGGCATTTCTGGCTGAGATTTGTGATATATATTGCCGGTGAGTCAAGTTAGAAACCTGATAAACTCGGGACATTGTTTGCCTCCTTTCTCTTAGTGTGGAGAATTCTTGAGTTAATCTCTACATCTTAATCTTGGTTAGGTACGTAACTTCCGTGCTTCCAACTGAAGGACAGTCTCTTAAAGGGGATGAAGTGGAGAAGATAGTCAAATTCAAAAATGCTCTGGGAATAGACGACCCTGATGCAGCCTCCATGCACATGGAGGTGTTTTCTAGATTCTTCTTCTTCGTTTGAATTAGCACCTAGCCTTTTGCAGTTGGTTCAGAAGGATCTTAAAATGTAGATCACCAATTCCTTGTTTTTTTTTTTTAGATTGGACGGAGGATTTTTAGGCAAAGGCTTGAGACTGGGGAGCGTGAAGGTGATGCAGAACAGCGTAGGGTGAGTCGCTAGTTCCCAGTATTCGTTATTTTCACTGTAGATTGGTTTAGAAAGAGAGCACAAGTGTGATCACAAGTTGTATGCTCCCAGTGCAGGCATTTATGAGGCTTGTATATGTTTCAGCTCTTGTGTTTGGAGACGCTGCATCCTTCCTTTTGCCTTGGAAGCGAGTATTGAAGGTTACAGATGCTCAGGTAGGCATTTCCAATTTTGTCAAACCTATAATTTTGCGCAGTATTTGTTTTTTGGCAGGCTGCATTATTAGCAAGCTCGGTACTCTGAGGTTCTCTGCTAATTTTTCAACCCCTTGTGTATAGGTTGAGATTGCTATTCGTGAAAATGCAAAGCAGCTGTATGCCGAGAGGTTAAAATCAGTTGGTAGAGGTAATGTTGTTCATGTTTTTCATTCTAAGATTGGAAGTAATGTTACACTTGTAGAATGGAGGAAGTTGCTTGAATTGATTATATTTACTAGTGTGTCACTTCTTGTCAATAAATGATACAATGGATGCTTCTCATTTGACGTCGGCTTAATACAGGGAAACTTAAATGGTTATGTTTGTTAACATGTTCTTGCAGATATTAACGTAGAAAATCTTGTGGACCTTAGAAAAGCACAACTATCGTTCAAGCTTTCTGATGAGGTACTCTATTTTTTTGTGGCATTGAATTTCTGCTTCCTCTGAATATAGTTCTCCTGACGGTTTCTTCTCCCTTGCAGCTTGCTGAAGACCTATTTAGAGAACATACAAGAGCAGTAGCCGTAGAGAATATTTCATCAGCACTTGGTGTATTAAAATCCCGCACACGAGCAGTGTAAGGCATTGTACTATATTTACAGAATCCTGCATAGAGAAATCATATGAAAAATGTATATTTCATGTGAACATTGACTTTGGTAACTTGAGTTTTGGTTTTTCTAAAAACTGATTGGTGATATTTCCGTCTTTTGCTTTTGTGAACTATACTTATTATATGAATTTTTATATGCGAATTCAGGTTAAACAGTTAGTTTATATTGGAATGCAAGTTAAGACATGAGATCTGAATGTTATAGGCGTTTTTGTATCCCTCTGATAATGAACAGTGAAACAAATTGGATCATCTTATTTATATTAGTTTACAATGCATGTCATTAAGTGACCTGATTTTATCCAGGAAGAGTATGGCACTTGTTGTGGAAGAGCTTGAAAAAGTACTGGATTTTAACAACCTGCTGGTTTCCTTGAAAAGTCATTCAGAGGCAGATCAATTTGCACGGGGTGTTGGCCCTATTTCTTTGATAGGTGAAGATGCTTTTTATGGTCTCTTTTTTGAGTAACAATTATAGGTTCTTACCTTAGATCTCTGTGGCTTAGGCGGTGAGTCTGATTTCGAGAGGAGGATGGATGATTTGAAGCTCCTTTATAGAGCATATGTTACAGATGCTTTATCGGGAGGGCGCATTGAAGAAAATAAGGTAAACTCAAACCATTTTTCTATGAGTTTTTATATAGTACAGTGAGTACGTTATAGAGCATTTGTTCAGATGCTGTTTTCTTTTATCTTTTTCCCATGCAATGTCATTTCTGCTGAATGGTAGCTTGTGGCAATGAGCCAACTGAGAAACATACTTGGACTGGGAACACGGGAGGCTGAAGCTATTAGTGTTGACGTTACGTCCAAGGCATACCGTAAGAGACTTTCTAGCGCTGTTTCTACGGGTGACCTTGAAGCACAAGACAGTAAAGCCAAATATCTTCAAAAGCTATGCGAAGAGCTGCACTTTGATGCACAGAAGGCAAGCGCAATCCATGAAGGTATATGCGGACCTCTGTTCACACACGAAACCTAATGCTGTTATTTTATACCCTGAGTGATACTGTTTGAATTTGCACTTTATCTCCCATGAAAAAGCCAGATTCTTATCAATTTAGTTGATGGCTTGTGAACCTGCTGGTTCCTTACTTTGCAAACTAGCTATTAATGTTTTGTATTTGTTCTTAACAGAAATCTACAGGCAGAAGCTTCAGCAGTGTGTTGCTGGTGGAGAGCTGAGCGAGGTCAGCGTTGCTTCTTTATTACGGTTAAGAGTCATGCTGTGTATTCCTCAGCAAACTATTGAGGCAGCTCATGCAGAAATCTGTGGAAGCATATTTGAAAAGGTAATCCAGCTAATCAGTCCCCTTGTCACTTTATCCCTTTTTTTTAGTTCTCATGGTCTTTGGTCTTCGCTTGCATACAGAAACTTACTCGTTACACTTTTCCAGGTCGTCAGAGATGCAATTTCTTCTGGAGTGGATGGTTATGATGCCGAAACTCGTAAATCAGTAAGAAAGGCTGCGCATGGTCTTCGGTTATCCAGAGAGACTGCCATGTCTATTGCTAGCAAGGCTGTGAGTGATACACTCTCTACTTTTCCCATGTTTGGTGTTAGAATTTGGTTTCTCTGACTCTACATAGCATCACATGAAAAACATAAACCTTCATTGATGCAGGTCCGAAGGGTTTTCACAAACTATATCAGACGAGCAAGAGCGGCAGAGAACCGCACTGAGTCAGCAAAGGAGCTCAAGAAGATGATTGCTTTCAACACGTTAGTTGTGACTGAAATGGTGGCTGACATTAAGGGAGAATCTTCTGATAAGGCATCTGAGGAGCCTGTTCAAGAGAAAGAAGAAGCTGGTGAAGATGAGGAATGGGGATCTCTTGAATCGCTCAGAAAGACAAGACCCGACAAGGAACTCGCTGAGAAGATGGGAAAGCCCGGCCAGACTGAGATAACTCTCAAAGATGACCTTCCTGACAGGGACAGGATCGATCTCTACAAAACCTATTTGCTCTACTGTCTAACCGGAGAGGTAACAAGAATCCCGTTTGGCGCCCAGATCACGACAAAGAGAGACGATTCAGAGTACTTGCTTCTGAATCAACTTGGTGGGATTCTCGGATTGACTTCGAAAGAAATAGTCAACATTCACGTAGGTTTAGCCGAGCAGGCCTTCAGGCAACAAGCTGAAGTGATATTAGCTGATGGGCAATTGACAAAGGCTAGAGTAGAGCAGTTAGACGAGTTGCAGAAACAAGTTGGGTTGCCTCAGCCACAGGCCGAGAAGGTTATAAAGAATATAACAACTACAAAAATGGCAAACGCCATAGAAACTGCTGTTAACCAAGGAAGACTGAATATAAAGCAGATACGGGAGCTCAAGGAGGCAAACGTGAGTCTGGACAGCATGATTGCTGTGAGTCTGAGAGAGAAACTATTTAAGAAGACAGTGAATGACATATTCTCATCAGGAACTGGTGAATTCGATGAAACCGAAGTTTACGAAACAATCCCAGCCGATCTCAGTATTGATGTGGAAAAGGCAAAAGGCGTTGTCCATGATCTTGCTCGGAGTAGATTATCAAACTCTTTGATCCAATCCGTGGCATTACTCAGGCAGAGAAATGCTAAAGGAGTGGTATGCGAATCCTCGTCCCCTCTCGTTTCTTGATATAATCAAATTCTGGATATTCCAGCTTTTGTGGATATATAATGTTTTTCCTTTGGTTTTTAAGGTCTCGTCGCTGAATGATTTGCTTGCATGCGACAAAGCTGTGCCGGCTGAGCCAATGTCATGGGAAGTCTCAGAGGAATTATCCGATCTATATGATATTTATTCAAAGAGTGATCCCAAACCGGCGCCGGAAAAAGTGTCGAGGCTACAATATCTGCTGGGAATAGATGATTCAACTGCAACTGCCCTCCGTGAGATGGAAGATGGGGCATTATCTTCTTCTGCAGAAGAGGGCAATTTCGTCTTCTAAATCTTTGGATAAATTGTCTTTAGTTTTTGAATTTTGTGGTTAAGAGAGGAAAAATGGTTTTCGAATTTTAATTTTTAGCAAAGCTTGTGAAATTTTTTGTATCAGACCCAAACACGCTCTTATTGGAATAATTTAAAAATCTGCAGACGAAAGAAGTGAACTTGTATAATCCAACTTGTATAATCCCCTTAAACCAGGCTTTCACTAGAATTTAGCACAACAATAAATACACTCTAACATATTCTAATCTTTGCTGAATATAAGAAACACTATAACACTCATTTATACTTAACTTAGAGTTGGAAGATTTGACTACTTTTCCGGAACAAGATGAAAAGAGACTTGGAGAGAAAGGTGCAGCAGATAGAGTAGTACATAATTGTGTGAAGCTTGGAGAGTAAGCAACCAAATAATGCCCTAATTTCGATACGACTGAATTCTATTTGTAGGCTGTGGCGCTCAAAATAACAAAAAGTCAATTCCATATTTCCGCATTAAAGGAAAAAAAAATAACGCAGCTTGAAATCATAAATCAATTTGTGAAAGAAACTCCATAGCAGACTATCCCAAAAACAAAAAACTCCCATAGCAGAATACAGTATATGCACACATGGTGTCACGTGACGGCTGTTTTCCGTCGAAGAACCCAAAGATATAAAATAATAATTAATAAATGATTGAAAAATAAAATAAAATAAATGATTTGACCGTAAGTGAAAGTTATTGTTATTTGATAGATGATCTCACATGACTGCACAAAAGTGAAGCAATACTGAACATGTATAGATCTGATCTCGTAATAGCATGTAATGTTTTTGGGGGAATTATAAAATGATCCATTATATAAAGGCAAGCCTACCTAAAAGACAAAAATATTAGAGGGTGCATCCGGATTTAGTTTTGTTATTCAGTTCCCCTTATGTTGGTGTTAATTACTACATTTTGAACATTAAGTAAAGAAAAGTTTTTCATAGATTTCAATTTCTCTGATTTTCGTAAAAAGAATATGTTGAAAATTTGATATGACACCAAAGATATTGATCGCATACATTCCGTAGATAATTTGAAGACTTGAATTTTATACAAGCATATGATTATGATTAATGATCCAATCAATCGATATGATTCATGGAGATTAATAAGAGTCGAGAAAAATTAGTTTTAGAAAATTATTTCCGAGATTACAAAAAGAGTGAAAATTAAGTAACAGATTTGATTTGAAGACAAAAAAAAAAGCAGAATCATTTGAGATCTCTGAGCAGCACCTTGACGAGGGATGCGTAACATCCTGATGAAGGTTTAGCTTGACAATGTTTCGAATCGTAGCTTAAACTAGAAGCCGATGATCCGAACCACATGGATCTCCGGCTGTTCCATCCGTACAAATCAGGTGTCCTCAACGGAGAAGATGTCGCAGAAGAGGATGCCGAAGATGAAGCAGCCGGAGACGACGGGGCGCTACGATTCTTGAGGAGCACGGAACCGAAGTGAGTGTTTGTTTTTTTAGGGTTTGCTGGATTCGTAGAGGAACTAGGACAAGCGTAGAAGTAGGAAGGAGGAGGTGTGAGTGGAGCTGAGATCGGAGAGGTGAAATCGGAATCAGAATCGATACCGGAAGAGGAAGATCGTTTAAAGAGTCGTCTTGGAGTTCCGGGCTGAGATTCCCATTTGAAAGGTACTGCGGCCGATGATCCGCCGTAGTAGTCGCCGTCGACGATCACGGTGAGGAGTTTGGCAGTGGAAAAGCTAGAACGATCCACTTGAGGCATTGCAACACTTTGTGAGGAAATGATTTTGTTTTTGGGGTTTGCTTAACTATATAAGATCACCTCCATCCATAGTATACAAAGAAGGGGATCTAATCCTAATTTTAATAGTTTTTTATTCTTTTTAATGCACTAGAAGTCCATTATAATTTTTTCATTAGATTAGTGTCCAATGGTAATCTCTTAAAGGGAGGCTCTAATTGTTTTTTTTTTTTGTTGCAATTTTTCAAATACAAACATTTTTATGAATACAAACATTATATTAATACAAATATTTTATTAATACACACATTTTATTAATACAAATATTTAATTAATACAAACTTAGACATAGAATACAGAAAAACAAAACAAAAGAGAGATGCAAATCATAAACCGGAAATAATAAGATTAGTTGTAATCTTGAATTGAACCAAAGTTATTCCACAAATGCTCAACTAAATCTTCTTATAATTGTTCATGCGTAGTTCGAGAATGCAGTGAATTCCGGATGGCCATAATATTAGTGAGATTTGAAGGCATATTGGTAGAATACGTCATATCCACATGTGAAGTTCTGTTTGATTCTCCTTGTGTGAATTCTTCAACATTAGACAAACTGTACCCATCTCGTTCGTCTTCTACGATCATGTTATGAAGTATTATACAAGCTCGCATAATTTTTTCTATCTTCACCTTATCCCACATCAGAGCTGGATTTTTGACAATGGCAAACCGAGCTTGCAAGACTCCAAAAGCACGCTCGACATCTTTACGGGTAGCTTCTTGACGTTTTGCAAAAAAACATGCTTTGTCACCTTGTGGTCGGCTTATAGATTGGATAAATGTAGCCCATTTTGGATAAATTCCATCGGTGAGATAGTAAGCTAAGTGATATTGTCGTCCGTTGACAAAGTAATTCACTTTCGGAGCTTTACCTTGTAATATATCATCAAATACCGGAGAACGATCAAGCACATTAATATCATTTAAAGTACCTGGCGGGCCAAAAAATGCGTGCCATATCCAAAGATCTTCTAAAGCTACAGCCTCTAAAACGATTGTCGGTTTGCCAGATCCTCGTGTGAATTGTCCGGCCCAAGCAGTGGGACAATTTTTCCACTCCCAATGCATACAATCGATGCTTCCTATCATCTCGGGAAATCCGCGAGATTCTCCACTATCTAGTAGGCGTTGAAGATCTTCTGGTGTGGGTCTTCGTAGATACTCATCTCCAAAAAGATATATGATTCCTTCTACAAAATTTTCCAAGCAAGAAAGGGCGGTGCTTTCACCAAGCCGGAGATATTCATCAACCGCATCAGCCGCACAACCATATGCCATCATACGAATGGCTGCCGTAGATTTTTGTAGTGCAGAGAGACCGGATCTTCCGGTAGCATCTCGTCTTTGTTGAAAAAATGGAAGATGAGTAGAGAGGCCATCAACAATACGCATGAACAAAGGTTTGTTCATTCTGAAACGACGACGAAACATATAGGGTGGATATGTTGAATCTTCCCGGAAATAGTCGTTCCATAAACGGATATGGCCTTGTTCCCGATCTCTCTCAATATATGCTCTTTTTTTTTTGGTTGATCTTTGACGATTGCTCTGATTAACAAGTAGATTTTCAAATGCATTTTCATATGCATTTTCAAAAGCTTCCTCGAATTTGTCTTCAATAATTTTCTCAAAATTATTATTGGATGAGGATGCCATAGAAGATGGTTTTTTGTTATGAGAAAGAAAGATGATGAAGAGAGTTAGAAAAAGATGTAGGAAGAAGAGAGTTGTAAGAAATAAAGATGATGTTGAATAAGATGATTTGTTTGTGAGCATTTGCAATCTTCTAATATATAGACAATACGCTTGAGTTTACACCATTCATTGAATATGTGGTGGGATGAGTTGTGTGGTGTGTAATAAATTGTGCCATAAATTGTGTAATAAATTGTGTGGTGTGTACATATGAATACAAAACCACCACTTGCTAAAGACTTGGCCAAAAACATCGGATAAAAAGAAGTGGGACATAACAAATTGGGACAGAAAAAGAAGTGGGACATAAAAACATCGGCTAAAAGTTTTTAACGGCCAATACAAAATAGCAGGCCCAAAATATAGCTAAGTACCAGTTCCAAACCTTATATTGCACAAAACATCGGCCAAAATAATAATGGTGGCCCAAACCTATATGAATATACAAATTGTAGCCATTTCTTCAAAGCCTCCTTTGTAGCCGTTTGTCCATGACTTTGTTGCCTGCAATAAGAAAAAAGAGATCATGAACAAGTGAATATAAGTCATACAAATGATAAAGGAAACAGAATCATATATATATATGGAGTCTTGAATACAATACATAGAACCTAAACCAAAAGACAAACAACTGAAAGACTTTATAAAAATACATTGAACAAACATTACAAGACATAGAAGTTATACCCGAGACTTAACAATATGACATACCCAAAAAGACTTAACAATATGACATACCCAAAAGACTTAACAATATGACATACCCAAAAACTAACTCATACCAAAGAAAAACAGACCTCACCCTTAACTCACTCATACAAACTCTCACATATTTGACAACATTTCATTAATGAGCTTGTTCTTAAGCTCGAATTCTACCTCAGTAAGAGGTTCGGTTTTTGCAAGCAGATTTTCGAGTATCTTTTGCTTGTTAGTCTTATCTTTCAATGCTAACTCCCTTTCCTTTAGCTCAAAGATGCTTCTAAAGTCCACTAAATCCTTACCATCTTCTTCCAAACGACCACCATTGGTCTTTGTTGTTTTTTTTTTGCCCTTGGAAGCTTTTACACCAGCAGGCCGAGGAATTCCTTCATCATCTCCATGCCTCAAAGGAGCATCGGTTCCTTCAACTCTAGCACCATCGGTTCTTTTTTTTTTTGATCTTCCATTTCCTGCCCACTTCTGATCATGACGCAGTTCTCTCCAGCAGTGCTCCATGGTGAATTTGTGTTTGTAATCATTGTGGAATATCTCCAAAGCCAGCTTCATTACATCATTTTCATTTTGACCTGATGTTTTTTGAGATGAAGCTGCCTCATACGACCCAACAAACTTGCAGACAAACTCATTTATCTTGGCCCATCTCTGCTTACAGTTAGTTGGCCCTCTCTTATCTTCAGCAGACACGTCAGGACTCGCCGCATAGTAGATGGCTATTCTTTTCCAGAATGCATCTGCCCTTTGCCCATTGCTGATGATTGGATCCTTGCTGGTATTAAGCCAGGCGCTTATAAGCGCAAGATCTTCAGCAGGAGTCCATGGCTTCCTAGTCTTACGCTCCTTCTCTTGTGCATCAGTTGGACTTGGAGCATCACTCCATTGTGTTCCAAACACTGGAACTTGTGAATCACCGAGTGCTATGGTTGTTTCCATGGGTTCAAGGCTATGGGTTTGGGTTCTTTGTTGGCTAGTTAGCAGGTCCATGAAGCCTGATGTGTCAGAAAAAGGATTAGTTGAATCCATTGGAAGGTTTAGTGAATGTGTTTAGGGTGTGTGTTTGGGTGTGTGATTTCGGTGTGTCTTTTAAAAAGTGTGGAAAGAAGTTTGAGTGTGTGTCTTTTAAAAAAAAAAAGTGAGCTTCAATATATAGAAGCTTATTCAAGATGGAGTTAGCATTGAAGATAGATTTAAAGTTCAAGTTAAGTTAGAGTTAAGTTAGAGTTTGTAGTTAGAGTTTGTAGTTTCTGAAGACATGAGCAAAAGAAACTAGTTATTAGAGTTTTAACCGAAGCATTCATTGTGACACAAATGCATTGATTCCACTCTCACATTTATCAACCGTGACATAGAGCAACTACAAATCACATCCTAATTCAACAAAGCATTGACTACAATATCTAATGCAAACCTAACCACTACAGAGCATTGATTCAATCAGTAATCCAATCCATCCAAACCATCAATCATCAACCACATCAAAGCCTTCCTAATTCATTAACTCACTACATTTTCGGGAAATCAATAAACTGAGTAAAAATCTTACTTGTAATATACCCATCTCTGAAGTTGCTTTGACTGTGCTTTGATTTACATCAAATAAGCCATCGCCGATCAGTTGTCTGTACCTCGACCGATCAAATAAGCATCGCCGATCATCACCCATCCATCCACCGATCTTCGCATCTGCAGCGCCGATCTTCGCATCTGCATCCACCGATCTTATTTGATCCATCCACCGATCAAATAAGCATCGCCGATCAGTTGTCCGTTTAATCGCCTCTCTCTCGCCTCTCTCTGATATCACCGAAGTCTCCTCCGAAGAAGACGACGAAGAAGGTTAGACAAAAAATAAAAACCAACCCAACTTCAAATCCTCTAATCAAAACAGAGTGTTTGAATAAAAAAAATCAAAAATAAAATAAAATCATCTAACCAATCACAACGCGACACGTCAGAGTAATTAATGGGTCTCCAAAAACTACTAAATTAGGATCGCTTAAAAACATGATTAAAAATTTTCTTTTTAATTAAAAAAGCTATTAGAAACTCCCCTCATCCCCCCATTGGACATGCCCTAAGACAACTATGTAAAGAAAGCGACTTGACTTTTTATTCTATTTTTTTTTTTTTTTGTTCTCAATTTATTGGGTGAAGAAGGTTTAGATTCAGATTCAAAAGTTTTGAATTCTCCGTGGTCTTATTTTATTTATTTTAGTTTGGAATGAGAACAAGTTTTTAACTTATTGATAATATTTCAATGTAAAAAATTTCGAATCTCGATGTTTGATGTTTCATGGAAGCCACTGAAAGTATTATCCTGTTCCAGATCATCTGATCCAATTATATAATATAAGTCCCTTTATTATTATAATACATAAAAACAAAAATTCACACTCTTTTGTATTCTACAACTCTACAAGAAATTATCAAATCAATGAACTCTTAGGGGTTAAAATTTATTAAATATTCGTTTTCAACTTGCCCCCATCAACTAGGTCTTTATTAATCCTTTCAATAAACAAAACTAAGGCATCTTTCGATTTTATTAATCGATCCACTTCGTTTTCCTCTTGCATAATCTAATAAAGAAATTAAACGTTATTTGACGTTTGGCATATTATACAAAAACACTGAGCGTGATTCACACGATCTACCACAATTGTGGAATTATTAAGAGTTTTCTTGCTGCATATATATGGAATGTGAAATATAGAGATCGAAAACCAAATATGAGTCTTAGTTCTGATCTAAACGACATGGTGGATGAGAAGCTTAAGGTTTTTGAGGACATAATGTCAAATGCGAAGCAGATTCAAGACAGTGTATTGAAAGAGATACTCACGCTTAACGCAAACACTGAATACCTACGAAGTTTCCTCAATGGGAGATCCGACAAAGAGCTCTTCAAGAAGAAGGTACCAGTAATGACATATGAGGATATTAGGCCTTACATCGAGCGTGTCGCCAATGGAGAGCCTTCCGATGTCATATCAGCCAAACCCATTATTGGATTCCTCCTAAGGTATATATATACATATATGTGTTAAGTTTCTTCTTGGTTTTCTTTTTTTTGTCCAAAATTTTTCAGGATCAAACAGCTTTTATTATGATTAAGTATGTGGATCTACTCGTTTTTGACTTGATAGTTCCGGAACATCGGGAGAGAAAGGGAAGATATTCCCTTTGGACAACAAGTACTTTGAGAACATAGTGTTCTTCACACATATATCTTCGCTCCTTACCTGCAAGTAATTAATTCTACATACTTCCTTTTTTTTTCAAGTATTGAACTTCAAAAAAGCAAGCAGATCGATTGTGTTTCTAACTAATTTTTCGTCATCTCCTTCATTGGTTTGTATAGGCATGTTAATGGTGCCAAACAAGGAAAAGAGTTGACATTTAATTTCACCAAACCAGCATTCACAACTCCCTCTGGTCTACCAGTTTCATCTTTGACTTCAAGCTTCTTAAAGAGTGATTATTTCAAAAACCGTCCACCAAATGACGTTTTCTCGTTGACAAGCCCCGACAAGGTCATATTTTGCCCAGACAACAAGCAGAGTATGTACTGTCATATCCTCTGTGGCCTTGTCCAGAGAGATGAGGTTGTGAGTTTGGCTTCTCCTTTTGCCTCTGTATTGGTTCGAGCAATCATATTCCTTTCAAATAACTGGAAGGAACTGTGTAGCAATATCCGGTCAGGTCAGCTGAGCAAGTGGATTAAAGACGTTGACTGCAGGAGCTCTGTCTCTCTGATCCTTGGAGGACCTAATCTTGAATTGGCTGATTTGATCGAGCAAGAATGTAGCCAGAAATCATGGGAAGGTATAATCACACGTATTTGGCCCAAAACCAAATATCTTGAGAGTATTGTTACAGGTCAGATGGCTCACTACATTCCTACACTTGACTTCTACTCCAACAAACTGCCTTTCATTTCCCCTTTTTATGCTTCTTCTGAAACTATGTTTGGGATCAATGTGAATCCTCTATGCAAACCACAAGATGTGTCCTACACATTTCTGCCTAATGTGTCATATTTCGAGTTCTTACTTGTTAATGAAGTAAACAAGGTTGAAATCGTTGATCTTGTGGACGTGAAGTTAGGGTGTTACTATGAGCCACTGGTCACAAATTATGCCGGTGAGTTGTACTTGTACATATATATATATATATATATATATATACTCCTCCATGAAAATTAATAACAATTGATCCCTTTTAATGAATGTTTTCTTATACACTTTTTCTTTGTTAGGTTTACATAGATATAGAATCGGAGACATTGTGCAAGTAACTGGATTCTACAACAGCACCCCTCAGTTTAAATTTGTCCAAAGAAAAAATGTGGTCCTAAGTGTTCATTTGGAGACAACAACAGAAGAACAGATTCTAAATGCAGTGACTCAAGCAAGAAGCGTTCTGGAATCTTCAGATTTGATGTTGATTGAGTTCACATGCGTTGCTGATACCTCTGCAGGTGGTCTTGGTCACTACGTTTTTTACTGGGAACTCAAATCCAAAACCAACAACGCCAACCCTGAGATTGATGATGAGCTACTGGTTGAGTGCTGCGAGTTATTAGAGAAATCACTCGACATTGATTACTGGAAATATCGAAGTAAGGATGGACCGATTGGAGCTTTAGAGATAAGGGTGGTGCAACAAGGAACGTTTGATTCTATCATGGACATTTACATCTCTCGAGGTGCTTCTATAACTCAATACAAAACACCTATATGCATCAAATCTGCTGAGGCCTTAGCGATTCTTGAAGATAGGATTCTTGTTCGAGTTTTTAGCAACAGTTCCCCATGATACTCTCGACTCTTCGCCGTCCCCATGACTTTATATTAGTGTAGTCTTTGTATTTCATCATTGTTTTTTTTTGTGTTTTCTTTTTTTTTTTTAATAAAATAACTTCTATTAAATAGTAATCGGATACTAGTAAGGATATATGTGACTAATGTGACAGCCATCCATATATATATATCATCTTTATGTTTATTTAAAAAAATCTCAAAAAATACCATATTTTGTATTCAACTTCCAAAAGCTAAGCATGGTCTTTATATGCGTTGAAAGTTTGGGGAACAATTATGGAACAAGACATTTCACTTGTGAGTGAAATATGTCATCCATTAATTCTCTTTCTTTTTCTTGATTCTGTTGCTAATTGACAAATAATATGTATAGTGAATCAAGTTTCCGTCATTTCATTGCAAGATCATTATTCCCGTCTTTCCCTTACTAGAAAACCAAGAATAAACATTTGAATAACCGGCCATTTCGATGATTTTTAACCGTCATTGACGCTTGGAAACAAGTCTGTGCAGAGCTCTCCATAGAATCTAGTCACAAGATCAATGAAGATAGGACTTCTGAGATTTTTCCAGTAGAAGAGAAGCTCTTCCATGTCCATCAAGTCATCAATTCTCCCTTCTTCAACGATCTCATGAATCATATAGTTCTCGAAGCTTCTGCAAGCCTCTTTCACATCATCTTCTTTTGACACATCTCTTTGACTCGTCCTCGGTTTCTTGTTCATTTGGGTCACAGCCAAAGGAACCATCTTTCTTGAATGCATAGGCTTCGGATTATCGATCACACTAGCTGCGCATTAATGATGGCATTGTAGTATTTAAATTAAGATAAAAAGGCTTCCATAATCGAAAAAAATTGTTACAAGAAATTGCTGTTACATGGGGAACTTCTGGGTCTGATCTGGCTCATCCTCGGTTCCTCATTAGTACTGAGAAAACAGAGACAAGACAACAGCGTAGAGGAAGAAGATTGTGTGGTATTGACATTGCGAGTTCGAGCATGGAAGAAGGAGATGAACCTGTTGCATGATCTTGAAAGCTTTGATTTCAAGTTAATCAAACTTGACTTCAGTCTCATTTTCATTCTTCCAGCTCTGTTTTGATATTTTTGTTGCTGTAGTATAATGTTAGTTTTTGTGGGAGGGTGGTTAGTCTTACGTGGGGTTCACGTCTTTGCATTTGAATTCATCACGAATCATAATGGTGGTGGTGCTCCATGAACTTATAAACCTACATTTTGCTTTAATTTTTTTTTGTTTTTTTTGTTGTTGTTAATTTAAGTTTAAGCTTCAATTTGATTAAGCACTCTCGTTGTGAGTAAATGTATGAAGAGTGTTTGGTAAACTCGTCTTTGATTCTAAATTGGGTTGTGTTTAACTGGTAACGAAAAAGTCGTTTGAGTTAAATTATTTTTTGGTGGATGATTCTGGTTAATTGGAATGGATAAACATAAATTACAAAAATAAGGTGGCCAGAGTGAAAAGCATGAAAAGCGGTAGGGAGACCACAAGTTAAATTGGTGAGAATGAGAAGGAATTTTATTGGTCGCCGAGTTTTATGCAAAAATGTCTCTTCTTAATTCTCTACAGTCTTTTCCACCATTATTATTATTATTATGTTATGACTTGTGGCTAAAGAGATTGGACCTTAGCCTGAATTCTTGTTTAACCTATTTTGTTGAATCCCATTGTCACGTTCGCCGAATCATGTTTTGGAATTAAGTAATTAACGAACCAGAAATATTCTGTTTATATACCACTAATCGACCTAGTACCTACTACTATAGTGACAAATTTTGAGCACGACATTAGAAAAAGTTTTTTTTGTTTTCTAATCAATTTTCAACTAAAATAGACTATTGGATTCTTATTCTTTTTAAGACTGATTCATTAGATCCACCCATCTAGAACTCAAGTAGTTCGTAGTCTACTGGTTAATTCATGTGAGTTAATGATCAAGAATTTGAGTCTTATTATGATATCAACCATGGTTATCCACTCTTAATTACAAGAATATCCGGTTGTTCTACAAGTCTGAGAAATTAGTTTAGGATTTCGAATTTTCGATCATGGTTCTAGTTAAATACAAAAACAAAAACAAAAGGTTGCGTCTGAAATAGGTGTGGGCATTTTCAACTTTAAATTAGGTTTTGGTTGTCGTTCTGTTAGGTTTTGAGAGAATACTTAGACGGAGAAACATAGAGTAACATGTAACTAATTGGTTTCCACGGTTTAGATCGCATATTCTATTTCCACGGTTTGGTTTGGTTTGGTTTGGTTTAGATCTGATAAATCATCTCCGAAACCGAAATGGGTTTGGACCGTTTGGTACAAACAACAGACATTCTACGAAGTGGACCCTAGTTTTGTTCTTACATTGTACTTCCCCCAATTTTCACTTTCTCCTCTCTTTTATCTGTCACATAGAAACTCTTCAACTGCGGCAAACTCTACTGATTTTTCTCTCTTTTCTATGAGAAAATCCCAAACCTTTTTGAAACAGAGATGAGGAACTATAAGTTCAGATTTTCAGCTATGATCCCAAGTGAATGGTTCCACAAGCTCAAGAACATGACCAAACCAAGAAAAAAGCACCCTCCTCCTGATTTGTTAAACACTACCAAGAAGAAAAAACAGTTCTCTGAGTTTAACTCTTTTCCTCACTCTTCAAACTCTTATCACTCCAATAAATCCCACACTTCCTTAGAATCTAAGAGCCTTCAGATATCACCAAGAAACTCTCTTCACATGATACAGAGCAAACGAAAGACTGTTTACAAGCCATCACCTCCTTCCTCTTCTTCTTCTTCTGTATCTGCAGGTTTTAACAAGAAGAAGATCAAATTTATTCCGAAACAAGATTCTTCCTCTGCCTCTTCCAACTTGAAACTCAGTTCTTCTGCTGATGATATCATCATCGACACGAAGAACAGAGATTTCAAGAAGAAAATGTTCAAAGAGATCAAGGTGATTGATTCAACGGATGAAGCCTGCAGTGCAAGTAAAAGATCGCGTAAAACCCATCATCTATCTGTGAAGGTTAACAATAAAGAGAAAGAAAAAGAAGAAGATGCTTGTAGAATCCAGAAGAAACATCAGAAATCATTAGTTTCTAGTGGAAGAAGATCATCAGCAAACTCTCCAAGGATAAAACTCAGAGTGACTTCTCCTAAAATTCATGTATCAGCGCGTAGAAGCAAATCGAGATTGCAGAGCAAACAAGTTCTTGACAGTTTTGCAGTAATCAAGAGTTCTGTTGATCCCAATAAGGATTTCAGAGAATCAATGGTTGAGATGATTGAAGAGAATGACATCAGAGATTCACAAGACATGGAGGATCTTCTAGCATGTTACCTTTCATTGAATCCTAAGGAGTATCATGATCTTATCTTCAAGGTGTTCGTTCAAGTCTGGCTTGAAGTCATAAAATCTAAATTTTCATCTTAAGTAGAAACGTATGTAATAATTGTTAATTCTCTGTTAAAAATAGTAGAACTTTTTGATATAATTGTCAATTGTGTGGAGATTATCTGTGCAAGACAAGTTTTGTTTTTCTTTGTTTTTTGCTGGATAATAAAGTAAATAAGATAGATGGATCACTCGCTTTCTTTTGTTTGTGGTTGTCATTGGTGAACATAATAAAGCACATTTGTTCAGCAATTGAGCATTATAAAGACCATAATTTATGGCATGAAATTATCCAATTAACAGCAACAAATCTCAACCTCACGAGTCTCTACCAAAAGAGAAAATTTGCATAAAGCAGAAGTTTTAGTTTTTTGTATTAAAAAGCATTTAAAAATATTTAGAAACAACAAACAATCATAGTATATACAAGTTCAAGTTCTAAATCATATTCATAGTATAGTACTCTAATTGAATGCGGTGATACTTGAATACTAGTCTTCGATTTTGATTATAAAAAAAGATATCTGTTACTAAAGATAAAAGAAGACATACGTTAGTATCCAATCGTCAATCACTCTGTCTAAATTCGTTTAGTTGAAGACTAGACGCTCTAGGCGTTGGATCATCGAAAACCTGCTAAAGAGACAATTTATTTGAACACTTAATAAAGAAACAAAGAAAATGGCAATAAATTGAACTGAGATTAGATTAGGATTGATCGAGTTTTAGCCGTAGTTATAATGACTTGTGAGCAAAGTTTTCAAAATATAGGAGTGAGAATGGCAAGTCGCAATATAAATGGGTTTTTTAAAAAAAAAGGCCAATAGTGAATGGACAACAAACACACGGAGACAAGCTGAAACCCAACAAATACGGAGTTGTAATGGGTTCCAGTCCTCATGATTAATGAAATAGGAAACACGAAAATGGAGCCTGACGAAGATGATCGCTTTAGAGAGAGAAAGAAACACTGACACAGGAGAGGATATGATTAAAGAGGAAAAGCAGGGAGAGAGAGAGTTTTCAGAACCTTAAAGGCTTTGCTGTTGTGATGGAGAAGGAGAAGAAGAAGAAGAGGACCACTGTTTTTTGCTCCTCTTTCCCAATGCCCCCATCTCCTACATGTCTACCATTTATACAGTTGGTACGGTATGTGCATTTTTTCGGCAATTGATCAACTACAAACATTGACATTAATGGGGAACACAAAACTCATTTTTGGATCCCAAGACATTTGCATCAAATTAATCGGACTTTTCCCACTGCTTTTTCCAAGTCCGAATATTGTTTGTTAGGTTTCACTTTAACCAAGCCAATAAACATCCTAAAAGAACCCTAAGTTACTTAACAAAAAGATTCACTAGATATTATCATCATCATATTCACAAATTCTTACGGGTTTTGAAGACAAAAGACGACAAAATGTTACCCAGTTTTTTTACATTCCATAGATGCCACAGTACGTCATTGTTCAGCATCTGTTTATCGGCTACACAAAAAAGGTCTGATCTCTGCTCCAGTACTCCATTTCCTATACGCAAAGAATAAACAGAAAAAAAAATGAATGGACGGCTTATACGAAAAATAAGGAGAGACATATGTGAATTGTCATGCCGTACGTAAACAAGGAATTTCATCAGCTTATTAAAAACACCGATCCTCGTAAGCAAACAGGCTCAACTAACCCATTAAAATTTAGATCGCCATGAATAGGTGCACCTTGGTTCGCTAATGTTACCATCAACTTATCACATGAATGGTCAAAAATATAGAAACATAAAACCCATCCCTTTTATAGGATGACCACATGGAAAAGTAATGACGTTAATAATAGTTTATAAACTCCAGAGCAACATATTTTGTATTAAGTAGCACTACACATATGCTCACAGGTCCACAAGTAGAGTTTCACTTCAAAGCTAACTTGAGAAATATTATTGGTTTCTACGAAATTGTTTTTCTCTTCTAAAGGTCACCAGAGTGTGATGATAATACCTTAGAGTATGTATATGTGTAACTCACCTACTCAAGGTTGCGCTCTTTACGTCTCATCTCAACTCGATATTTATCTTTAATATTAACCTATGAGATAATGCGTCAGTTAGATACCTGATAAAGTCAACTGTAAGAGAAATGAATGGAGACCAGCAAGATAAGTGAAGCTGTGTACATTAGTTCTACGCTCTAGAATTGGATTCTCATCCTTGATCCGCTTCCAGTTTGCACCATACCTGAATCACCAGAGAATAGATCAAATCAACCGAAATGCATGAAAGATGTTCATCTAACATCTAAGAGAACGTTCAAGTCTCAAGTACTTTTCATAGCCTTTCATTACGGCCAGGGTTTCTGCAGTACTCCAATAAACTTTCTCCCTATGGTTTCTTTTTTTCAAAGGAGAGACGACAATTCTTTCACGTCTTGGTTTATTATTCTTTTCACCATCAGCGCCCATTTCTACATCTGAATCATCAATGGAGTCTTCCCACTAATAAAACAAACAAACAAAGAGATGTGAAAAACAAACTCGTTTGAACAAAACAAGTCCCACATTACACTGTTGGATGAAAGCATGTTATTTTAACTCCGCTACAACCGAACATGCAAAGAGATCAATCTAAACAAGATAAAGCTGAATACGAATTTCCCATCAAGTGTAGCAAGCTGGTCAGCCAAAATAAAATGTAAGGAGAAGATGAGAATGAATGTGGTCCATGTGGAGAACAAAGTAAATATGTGTGTACTAGGTGTTCCATCATCCTAGCTATTTAAACACAAGAAGACCTAAGACAACAACGTGGATGATCTGATGAAACAGTAAACATGAACAGATTTACCTCAAATGTCTGTGCTGTGGTTCTTCGCTCCATCAAGCTAGGCCTCGGTAAAGTGGTTGTTTCAGAAGGATTAGCAACATCATTTACTTGTTCTGTAATCGTCGCATTGTGTAACGTTGAAGGTCCTCCTTGTTCCAAAGCATTCATCAGGTCGATTTTAGAAGCTCTAAGCTTTTTGAGCTGTCTGTCAACAACTGCAGAGGAAATGGTTTTGATTTGACGAAGTGGAGATTCAGCTTCTGACTCACCAGAAGGTCTTTCTTGTTCAGTATCTGAAAAAAATTGTAGAAAAGAATCAAAACCTCGAGGAAGAAAAAAAAGAAAAGAATAAACTTCACCTTATCCTTCCAGAGGATACCAGAAAGCGAAACGCCTCAAAAAACATATAAAGATGAGCAGAAAAAAGGTTCAGAAAGTGTTGACCTTGGTCTTCGTCACCATCTTCAGAGGCTTCAACAATCGGCTCTGTCTCTCTACTTTCTTCGCTAGATTCAACCTCTTCCGATTCATCCATCGCATTTCCATCATCATAGGCATAACCATGGTTGGGATCCAACTCTGTAACTACCTTCCTCAAAGCAACCAAAGCTTTTTCTCTCGTATTCTCTTCCATCAGAGTTTCACAAGCCTTTTCGTCATTGTGGGCCATCCATAATCTTCGACAGCTATTCAAGAGGTCACTAGTAACCAAGCAACTGACCTTATCGCATAGAGGCATAATCCTACGGAGCCAAATCGATCTAATTGCTTCAGTATAAGCCACTTTCGCATCTCTCTCACTACCCAGACACCTCGCTGTGCACTCCACAGCTACTTGACTGTACGCTTCCTTCACTGATTCGGGAACCTTAGAACCTTCTTTGTGCAGAATCTCCACTAGATTCTCCAACCTCTCGAGATTCTTCTCCTCCACAACTCCGTCCTTGATCTCGATGAAAATCCCTTCGAGAATAGCTTCCTTCCACTGTGACAGTGCCATTGTTGCCTACCCAACCAAACAATGTTAGGGCTTTTCAGAGCAATCAGTACGATCTCGCTCTTCGATTCCGTGTCTCGAATTGGGTTTTACAAGAAAGGACGATTAGGTTTGTAATATTTTGAATTTCAATTTTCAATTTTCGATTCTCTTTCCCGGGGGGTTTGATTTTCAGAGGCGAAGCGATCGAAAGGGATGAGTTGAACTTTTGGTTTTGCCACTTTCGTTTTCCAAAATAACAACGCGTGCCGTTTTTACTATTACGAAACGGCTCACGTGCCATATCCTCCAGAGACAACGGCAAGATATTACGCAATTTTGATTTTGCGTTTCAGTAGCGATTCTAATTTTTTTTTCTTTTTTTTTTTAACTAAAATAAACGAATATTCAGAAGAGGGCAATAGCGGCGGAATCGGATTCATTGCGTATAGAGAGGCAAGACCTAAGAAGAGGAAGAAAGAGATACTCTTTCAGCAGCAGCACTTGTTCACGAGTCGTCGCGATCTTCTCAGAACGAGTACAATGTCTGCAACGAAATCCGTTTCGACCTTGGACAATGTAGTCGTGAAGTCACCTAACGATCGGAGGTTATACAGAGTGATTGAATTGGAGAATGGATTGTGTGCTCTGCTTATTCACGATCCAGATATTTATCCCGAAGGCTCTGTTGCGGATGGTCAGAACACCGACGCCGAAGGTGACGAGGAAGAAGAAGAAGAAGAAGAAGATAGTGACGGGAGCTATGAAGATGATGAAGATGATGAGGAAGAAGGGGAAGGAGATGAAGAAGATGATGAGGATGAGGATGAGGATGAAGTAAAAGGGAAAGGGGATCATCAGACCAAAAAGGTTTTCAGTTTAACATATATCACCTGCTTTGTTACTCTTTATCAAATTTGATTTTAAACTTCTATGTTTTGTGATATGCTTTCAGGCAGCTGCAGCTATGTGTGTTGCAATGGGTAGCTTCTTGGATCCTCCGGAGGCGCAAGGCCTGGCTCACTTTCTTGGTACTTTCATCTTTCTATGACTTTGAACTACAGTTTGAGTTCACTTCTTTTGTTTTTAGTGTTGAATCACTCTCTTTTTTTATGTTTTGTGCAGAACACATGCTTTTTATGGGTAGCACCGAGTTCCCCGATGAGAATGAAGTAAGCATTGCATTATTTTATATGTTTGCAATTGTTGCACTATTCATAGATTCATATGAAGTGACGTATTCTGTTAACTTCAATTTTTTTTGTTTTATCTTTGAATTAAGAAACTAGCCCAATTAGCATGATTAAATATAACTGAGATTTTTCTTAGAGCATGGATAATGGATGATGGTTAGATCTTTTGTACGTTTAGTACAGACTTTGTTTTGTTAGCATGATGTATCTTTGAATTTTTCCGGGTTTGACTTTGTTTTACTTGTAGTATGATAGTTACTTGTCTAAGCATGGAGGATCCTCTAACGCATACACAGAAATGGAGCATACGTGCTATCATTTTGAAGTCAAGAGAGAATTCCTTCAAGGTGCCTTGAAAAGGTAGAAAATTTTGTTGAGCTGCACTTCACTTATTCAAATGTCAATTTCTGTAAATTTAACAAGACAGGCGACACATGGGTCGGTATGTATGCCTAAAGTTTGTTATCATTGTTCAATTTGTGATGATCTAGAAAAGTAAGATGCATAGTTCTATTTATCCTTCTTGCTCCTTTTTACGTTAATTGTCTCCCTAATATGTGTCACTTGGATTTTACCTAAACCATCTGTTGCAAAACATTTTCCGTAGGCAAAATTTGGGTTTGCTGATTAGGTTTGATCTTTTCGTTTTTGTTTTTGTTTTTTCGATCGCTTATTTGACCTTGGTTTGTTCTCTTGTTATTAGGTTCTCTCAATTTTTTGTAGCACCCCTCATGAAGACTGAAGCCATGGAACGCGAACTCCTTGCTGTTGATTCAGGTTTCTCCTACCTGTTAATCATACCCTTATTCCTTGTTAGATCTTATCGAAAGATCCATCTTCAGCAAACATTCAGATAAATTTTCCTTCTTATATAGTTAAAAGTGTCTTGCTAACAATATCCAAAATTATAGAATTTAACCAGGCCCTCCAAAATGATGCATGTCGTCTGCAACAATTTCAATGCTACACGTCTGCAAAGGGTCATCCGTTTAATAGGTTCTCTTGGGGTAAGGACATCTCGGTGTACATTTCTTGCCACACTTATATTTATGAAATAAGTTGATGTAATATGTCTTTTATGTGCTCTGGAAGGTAACAAGAAGAGCTTAAGTGGTGCAATGGAGAATGGGGTTGATCTACGAGAATGCATTGTGAAATTATACAAGGAATATTACCACGGTGGATTGATGAAACTCGTTGTCATTGGAGGAGGTAAAATTATCTAGGTTTATTATGTGTTTGGCTCTGATTCTTGGAAAATGTTATTTTACATTCCTAAATATTGGCTTGTGTTGCCGTTTGTGTTTATTGTATTAAATGATTTCCTATAAAACCCTGCAGAATCTCTCGATATGCTAGAAAGTTGGGTTGTAGAACTATTCGGTGATGTCAAAAACGGATCCAAAATCAGGCCAACTCTGGAGGCGAAATGCCCCATTTGGAAAGGTGGTAAATTATATCGCCTAGAAGCGGTTAGAGATGTTCATATTCTTGATTTGACTTGGACTCTCCCTCCTCTTCGCCATGCCTATGTGAAGAAGTCGGAAGACTATCTAGCACATTTATTAGGACATGGTGAGAAATCACATTGATTTTATCGGTATATAGAATAGTCTTTAAGTGTGCTTGTGCATGCACTCATTTAAAATGCATCTTGAAGAATGTTGTTTATACCATTTTATTTTTTAGAGGGTAGAGGAAGTCTGCATTCATTCCTAAAAGGTAAGGGCTGGGCAACCTCGCTGTCTGCTGGTGTCGGAGATGATGGAATAAATCGGTCGTCTCTAGCTTATGTCTTTGGAATGTCCATACATCTCACTGACTCTGGTTTAGAGAAGGTAACTTAATACATATAGATTAGTTTTTAAACTAAGTTTAACGATGTGGTCAATTCAATCGTTTTCACCTGTATATATAAGCCCTTTGTCTCTGACTTTTCAGGTAGTCTCTTTTATGGTTTCTTAATTGACTTTCCTTAGTGGACAAGCTGTTGATAGCTTCGTATACTGTCCTTCTCCTTTAAGTTTTTGTTAAGTTACTCATTATGACCTTATGACAACTTTTATTTACAGATATATGACATCATTGGTTACGTCTATCAATATCTTAAGTTATTGCGTGATGTGACCCCACAAGAATGGATATTCAAGGAACTCCAAGATATTGGGAACATGGACTTTAGATATGCTGAGGAGCAGCCTGCAGACGATTATGCTGCTGAGCTCTCAGGTTTGTACTTATATAGTCATTCGTCTAGTTTTTTTAAAACGTTAATATAATGTTAGCTTATTATGTTGGCATGTAAAGCCTAAATATTTTCAGAACTTAATATCGTCATGGGTTTTCTTAAGCAACTATTGAAACTCGTATTGTACAGAGAATATGCTTGCTTATCCGGTAGAGCACGTTATTTATGGTGATTATGTATACCAGACATGGGATCCAAAAATGATAGAAGATCTCATGGGTTTCTTCACACCAAAAAACATGAGGATTGATGTTGTTTCGAAATCCATCACGTCAGAAGGTACTTTAGAGACTAGTTAAGTATGTAACTTTTGGGTTGCATATTTATATTCTCACTATCTTTTTGTGAAACTTCTTGTTTCAGAGTTCCAAACTGAGCCGTGGTTCGGTTCTCGTTACAGAGAAGAAGATGTTCCATTGTCTTTGATTGAAACATGGAGCAATCCTTCAGAAGTAGATAAGTCCTTACATCTGCCTTCAAAAAACGAATTCATCCCTTGTGATTTTTCCATCCGAGCCATTAATTCTGATGGGGAAACCAAAAGTCCGTCTCCACCTAAATGTATAATTGACGAACCGTTCATGAAGTTCTGGTACAAGCTGGACGAAACGTTTAAGGTTCCTCGTGCAAATACATACTTCCGCATAAATTTGAAGGGGGCATATGACAGTGTGAAGAACTGCCTTTTGACGGAATTATTTATCAACCTTCTGAAAGACGAGCTAAATGAGATCATATACCAGGCAAGTAACTACCTTTTAGGAAGATCTTTTAGATGTTTTTGTTTTTGTATTGACATGAATATCTGGTTTTTTGCAGGCCAGTATAGCAAAACTTGAAACTTCTTTATCTATGTATGGTGATAAACTAGAGCTTAAAGTGTATGGCTTTAATGAAAAGATTCCAGCTCTCTTATCAAAAATCTTAGCCATAGCCAAATCCTTCATGCCAAGCCTGGACCGGTTTAAGGTATGTGAATTTTTGCATGGATAATTGCCATACCTTTTATTCTCATTCAATCTTGAACTTCAAATTTCGTGTCAATTTATTTTCCCTTTATTTCTTGATTCAACTACCTTCTCTATCTAACCTTGCAGGTTATTAAGGAAAACATGGAGAGAGGGTTTAGAAATACCAATATGAAGCCTTTGAACCATTCCACATACTTGAGACTGCAACTCTTGTGTAAACGAATTTATGACAGCGACGAGAAGTTGTCTGTACTAAATGATTTGTCTCTCACTGATCTCAACAGCTTTATTCCTGAAGTCCGCTCTCAGGTAACGTTCTGCATCAACCACCTTTAATGTGATTACCCTTTTACTTAATACATAACTACTTGCCTTTGCATTGTTTCTGTGGTTTTTTTTTTTTAATTTGGGCAAACCTGTTGTCATGTTTGCAGATATTTATTGAGGCTCTATGTCATGGTAATTTGTCTGAAGATGAAGCAGTAAACATATCAAACATATTCAAAAACAGTTTGACGGTAGAACCGCTCCCAGTCAAACGTAGACATGGAGAGCAGATAACGTGTTTCCCTCTGAGTGCCAAACTTGTAAGAGATGTCAATGTGAAGAACAAATCTGAAACAAACTCAGTAGTCGAGGTAAAAAGAAAATTGTCTTGTGATGACCGTC